TTGAGACTTAGTGTGGCGGGTTCTGATTCCGTACGATTTATCCTTTTGATATGTCCCCTGGTGACATAAAACACGCGTCCGTAGATTACAAATGTACATACATGAAAAACCAAAATTATCAGACTTGCAATCCATTCAAGCACGAAAGATTGAGAAGTGTAGAATGCTGAAAAAATGGCGGCATTCATCGTTAGAATGACCCATGTCATGATGACGATCTTGACGCTTCCACGCACAGTCATGTGACCCCTGTAGTGGAATGGCCGTTCCACACCATACAGCCGCTCAAGAGCTAAAACCATAATGTTGGCACTGGATAACATTAAACATAAAAATATAACGAAGTATCTTACATATGCAAACCGACTACAGTATAACTCCGGCACATAGTCAGGCAGGATGTTGACCGGGAAGCCGACGATGCAGTAGAAGAAGTCCTCCTGCAGCCAGGTTGGCCAGGAAAACGTTGCAAGGTTTATGTAGCATCCTCGTGGTGGCAAACGCGGCAATGATGATGGCGTTACCGACGCTGCTGACAGCGACAACAACAACGCCTACGACCGTGATGGCCATTAGCCAACCCCCTTCAATCCTTCTCTCGATGATTTCAGGATGCAGCCTATATGAAGGGTCGCGTTGGTCATCATCTCGTCAGTGAAGGCTGAAACAGTTGATGGTATGTTTTGGATCCAGTGAGGATCCAGAATGTAAACTCGTCAAAAGGAAAACGGGGTTTTCTGTCCAGCACGTTACGATGCAAGAGTCAGAGCAATACGATGACCCGCAATCTCCAACACAAGTCTTGTATTACCTGAGTTGCGAACAGGGCAATGTACATTGTCATGACACAGTTTCCCGTATTCTGTCACTGATATTCATGTTGATTCGAGTCCAAGTCTCGTCCACAGTTCTCGTCACTGTTTGGCATTCAAACTATTCCCGTTGTCCACGTATAAGCTCCTTTCCGAGGTTTCAGGGTCTGCAGTGAAGCCTCGGAATTAAAGAGTTCGCTCGTCACGCTGAAACAGGGTTCGATTCCCATATGGAAAAATGTCTGAAGTCCTTTTCTGGTGTCATCCCACGATGTAGTGTTGAAAGCGGCGTAAAACCATACTCACTCGGTTTGAGTCTTGCCTTCTAGGGAGGTCGTTAATAGCTGTCTGTGGTGCGCGATAGATTAACTTGAATATATCCTCGTTCCATAAAACAAATCAGCAGTGACACCTGGTTTTATCACTTTCATTTAACTTGGTTGTTACAATTGTTACGGCAAAACTGAGGTGGAGTGACCGATATGAGTCTCAGCACACACCCCATGCGTGATACAACATCAATCTCTTGCCAAACGTATCCCGTTTGAACAGGGACAGATATTGTGATGAACTGAGCATGTTGTGCAGTCTCAAAGTCTTTATTTCAGATCAAACGTAACTGGTTTCTCACGCCTCAACACCTATTCCGCTCGATGGACGCTGAAGACCCCGATGTTGCACGTAGGCTGGCTTAGGATTTGTCATGCGCCGCTACTGATTGCTGGTTATACAGGGTAGCATAGGCGTTAATACGTTCCTTCGTCACACCGAGCTCCCGGGTTCGATTGGAATATTGCTAAAGGCGGCGTTAAACAATACTCACTCACTCCCACGCACTTCACGCACGCACTCACGCACTCACTCACGCACGCACGCACGCACTCGCTCGCTCGCTCACTTACGCACGCACGCACGCACGCACTCACGCACGCACGCACTCACGCACGCACACGCACGCACGCACTCACGCAAAGTTTGAGGGAACAGTCAAATATATCATATAGTGCCAATGGCTTGCGACCACGTTTGTCTACAGAAAAATGGTCGACGTATGGGGAAACCCCTATCTATGCATATCTAGTCAAATTGTGTACAGTAAACTACGGTTATAACGAACCCAAAGGGACCACTAATTTGAGTTCGTTATAACCGTTGTTCGTTTTAAGCATATATACAGCATATGTACAACAAATGGCCGGTACTAATAATAAGTTCGTTATATCGGTCAGTTCGTTATAAGCGTGTTCGTTATAACCGTAGTTTATTGTATTGAGAAAGAAGGCAGCGCATCGAGCTTGAAAGTAGTTGTTCCTCACAGGGGACCTCATTTGCATATTTGCCGGCTCCAAGGTCATTGGAATGGGTTACCGCATCGATAACGGTAGCCATTATATGGTGCAAACTAATAGCGATTCTTAACGTTTGAAGCCGGGGTGGACGTTTGGAGCGTGGAGGGATATGTAGTCTGGTGGTTAAACAGATCGGCCTTCACATTGAAAGTCCCGTTCCTCACTTTGTTGCGTCTCTCGTCGTATCGTGCATTGGCTGGAATATTGCTGAACATCGCTCACAATTTGGGGAAAAAAGATGCTTCAGACTATCCAAATGTTTACTAAATTTGCCAGTTGTTAGAGGTACCTATCCAGGCTCTCTCCTTTTAAGTTTTCGTGTATTTAATTTTGGAGGATTTTGGGCACTGTCACGGCGATTTCGATAACATTACGCTCGATTATTGTATTCGAATTGTTTTTGCATTTCTGTGACAAATGAGCTTTCATAGTTATGAACGCTCTTCTAATGTATACGTTTTGCGTTTTCAGGGTGTATTTTGCAAAATGAACAATTTGTGTAATTTTTCTTCAAAATGTATTTTAATATTTGTTGTCACATTGAGACCATAATGTTTAATGTTGAGCTTGGTTGACTTTTCGGAGTTGTCGCCCTGACAATAGGAGTGGTTTACATTTTGTTTAACTAGCAGCCAGTTTTGCAAATTGTATTAATACCTGCCCCAAGTAGAATTATAGGTGGTGTTTGCGTTAATTCACTTTTTACCTAAGTGGAAGAATCTGAACTTTCCTGTAGTACCAATATCCTTCATTGTAAGTCACGGCATGCTGACTTTTACTGACAATGTTTATTCTAGTTTCTTCTCATTGTTGACCGCCTCCGTGGTCTAGTGGTAGAGCGTCCGCCCGGAGAGCGGAAGGTTCGGGGTTCGATCCCCGGCCGCGTCATACCCAAAGACGTCAAAAGATGGTACTTGTTGTTACCCTGTCTGGCGCTCGGCATTAAGGGGCTAAAACAAGGACTGGTCGGCTCGGAGTCAGTATACTGTGTCTAAGTGGGGTATTCATGTTAAACTGCGGCATGGTATCTCAGTGAGCTAGCACTATAGATCGGCATCAGTCCGGACTAGTACGAGCAGCCACACAAACACACACACGTACATGCACGTCGCTATATAAGTGCAATAATCTTGGACGCGACGTTAAACCCCATTTCACCTCACCTCTTCTCATTGTTACTAGGCTCAAAGCCCATGCTATCTTTTGTAGGATGAATTTTAGGACTCTTTTGTGTATTGCCGTTGGTACACTGACAATTCCAGTTCGATGAAACAGTACAATCCTATTCCTTTTCCACTGTCAATATACTTTGATCAAATAGTAATCTCTTTAACACAGCTAAGCACTCAGATCTCCCTTAACGACGTAACGTTACCAGATGACCTTCAGTGCGTTAACAGATGACGCATTGAAACGAAATATTTGCGTAACTCACAGCTCTCACAAGTGTTGTATTCTGGGTTGGGGGAGGAAGGGGGGGGGGGGGGGGGGGGGGACGGTGTGTACATTTACTGTTGCTACTACTACTACTACTACTACTACTACTACTACTACTACTACTACTACTACTGCTACACCACAAGATGCACCGCGCGATGTCATACACTGTGTCCAATACAAACCAATGACATGTGACTCATTCTTCAGTGCATTCTCACAGCTCACAGCTCTCACAGCTGTTGTATTCTGGGGTTGGGGAGGAAGAGGGGGGGGGGGGGGGGGGGGACTGTGTGTTTCATTTACTGTTGCTACTACTACAATTACTACTACTACTACTACTACTACTACATTTACTGTTGCTACTACTACTACTATTACTACTACTACATTAACTGCTGCTACTACAACATGTACTGATGTCAATACTACTGCTACACCACAAGATGCACCGCGCGATGTCATACACTGTGTCCAATACAAACCAATGACATCGTGACTCATTCTTCAGTGCATTCTCTATACTTGAGGGGGCACGGGTGGCCCAGCCGTCTAAGGCGCCGCGATTCGCTGTGCAGAGTTGCGTCCCTTGGGCACACCAGAAACCTATGATTGTGGGTTCGAATCCCGGTTCGCCCCAATTATGTTTCTAGGTTTGTCAGCACCATACCCGTGCTCGTGGGTTTTCACCGAAGTGGTAAACGTCTGAGACCTGCATCACTTCGGGCTTTCCTCCCACATTAAGCTGGACACGCCGTGATATAACCGGAATACTGTTAAAAGCGGCGTTAAATCCAACTCACTCACTCACTCACTCTATACTTGAAGCACAATCCCACGGGCTATTGCTCACTCAGCTGGTCTGCTGTACTACACGTTATCACCTGATAACGCACAGTGGATGGCTATACATAGTGCGATACTTCAGGCCTCATTCCCGTCTGTTTGTTTCAGCTGTATGACGGCGGTCTGTCCAGGAGCACTGACTTGTTTCTATTACCGGGGAGTGTTTCGATTACTTGCAAACAGTCTCTATTTCTAGGAGCGAACGGCGCTTCATTATCAGTTTAATAGCCCAACATGTACACCCCAGAAGATCTGGGTTAGAATAGGTCAACCCCATGCTTGCCGTAAAGGGCGACTATGCTTGTCGTAAAAGGCGACTAACGGGATCGGGTGGTCAGCCTCGCTGATTTGGTTGATACATGTCATCGTATCCCAATTTCGCGGATCGATGCTCATGATATCAATCACTGGATTTTGTGGTCCAGACTCGATTATTTACAGACCGCCGTCATATAGCTGGAATACTGCTGAGAATGCGGCGTTAAACAACAAACAAACAAGAACGCAGACGTGCTCATCTCTCGAGGCCTGATTATTCGTCCTCTTTGATAACAACTGTAACAGATACGGCCGGGGTGAAGGACAATCTCCCTCTTCCCTTCGGCTGCCCAGGTAAGGTTGTCTCATTGGTCAGCATTCCTCAATATGTAATTATCCGCAAAATGAATAAATTGATATATTTATAACTTGTTCACACATCATATCTTTAGATAATGTTACCAATAACGGTTCCATTTTCCAGTTACTTTTCAATTTTTAACAATTCCGTTTAGAAATAAGGTACATCAGGTACATGTAACTAAACCATGTTGACCATTTGTTCGCTTTGCGTGATATGTGGGATCAATTAACACAGCATAGGTTGTTAATCATTTTAAAAGTCTATTAACCTTTCTTCATGTCGTGGGTTACCGTATTCGACGTAATAAGCGCCCCGCTCTAATAAGCGCCCACGGCGATATTTGCATATATATTGGCACGTGAACGATCCCAATTAGCACCCTTTCCGATTGATCAATGTAAAAAAGACTTAATATTCATTCGCGTATAATACGCCCCCTGTGTTATATGCACCATTAATATGGGCAATTAAATTCTGGAAAAATATATCTGCCATTCATAAACATTTCAGGCTGTCAGCATAAACCACGAAATTTATCTTTCAACTCTGTTTTTTCCCCACCAAAATAAGATTTTAATAAGAGCCCCCTATTTCTAATTTTAAGAGCGACCTGGGCGCTTACTACGTCGAATACGGTTAATATTTATTGGTACCATCACATACCAGTGAACCTTGTATTGCAATGAGCATGTCATACGCGTCTGATAATGTTATCACACGGCGGGAACCTTTACGAACCTTCGTACACACTGTGTCAAGTGAAGGTTGTGGATAAAGGTTCCGAATGTAGATTCTGAATGAAAGTCGCGCAGAAGGGTTTCGAAAGTAGTTTATATTGGTAGATGACGACCCGTGAAGTTCCGGGGTAGAATAGGTCTTCGGCAACCCATGCTTGTCGTAAGAGGCGACTAACGGGATCAGGTGGTCATGCTCGCCGACTTGGGTGATGCATATCATCGTATCCCCCCCCCCCCCGCCATTAATAAAATTTGTAGGTGACAATTTAACGATGTTCAAATTTGAGAGGAAAAAACAACAAATACTGGTAATTAAGTTTGATTTTAACACACACACACACACACACACACACCCCATCCCACGCATGTGGTGATTGCATTTCTTTCTTTTTCAGGTAACAAACAAACAAACAAGATGGGTACTTGTCTAAATTCTCTACTGGCTTCAGTGTGTTTAGTCCTGGTGTATACAGGTATGGTATAACATACGATCAAACTGTCATGTACAACAGGAAGTCTTGTTCTGTGAATTGTTTTGTCCATATTGCCCATATTGTAGGAACGGTTCACTGAAAGCATATATATGATATAACCTATGATTTGAATTTACAATACCGTGGCGTTAAATCTGAACGCAACACCAAATCACAATGAAATTTCAAATCGTGAATGAATAGCACGTGATGCACGTGCACACAGAAGCCAAAGTGTGGGTGCCAAAAGGGGACTCACAATCATCAATGCAATAGAGCTTAACACCCGTTTAAAATGCACCCGAGACAGCCCTCGTATCTCAAAAAGTCATCTTTGATCCAGGGGATCATCACGGCGCAAAGAGTGAGTGAGTGAGTGAGTTGGGTTTAACGCCGCTTTTAACATTATTCCAGTTATATCATGGCGTGTCAGCTTAATGTGGGAGGAAAGCCCGAAGTGATGCAGGTCTCAGACATTTACCACTTCGGTGAAACCCACGAGCACGGGTATGGTGCTGACAAACCTAGACACATAATTGGGGCGAACAGGGATTCGAACCCACAATCATAGGTTTCTGGCGTGCCCAAGGGACGCAACTCTGCACAGCGAATCGCGGCGCCTTAGACGACTGGGCCACCCGTGCCCCCCACGGCGCAAAGAACTTTGTAGCATTCAGATGCGAGTACCAAGACTGTCATAAAGCGTACGTGTGTAACCACGAAGGTGAAACAAATTGTAATTTGCACGTGATGCCTTCAGAATGAGGAATGTGAATAAATTGCACATTTCAGTTTAAATAATTTTGTAATATAAAGTAGTAAACAAACATATCATGAAAACAAAACTAGTGATATGTTTTCTTAACAATGACATCCTGAAACATGTGTTATTGTTTTCAAGGAACAAGGGATATAGTTGAAGTAGGACTGCACATGGAGGTGAGGTGAGGTGAAATGGGGTTTAACGTCGCGTCCAAGATTATTGCACTTATATAGCGACGTGCATGCACGTGTATGTGTGTGTGTGTGTGTGTGTGTGTGTGTGTGTGTGTGTGTGTGTGTGTGTGTCTGCTTGTACTAGTGTGGACCGATGCAGATTTATAGTGCTAGCACACTGAGATACCATGCCGCAGTTTAACATGAATATCCCACTCAGACACAGTATACTGATTACGAGCCGACCAGTCCTTGTTTTAGCCCCTCAATGCCGAGCGCCAGACAGGGTAACAACAAGTACCATCTTTTAACGTCTTTTGGTATGACGCGGCCGGGGATCGAACCCCGGACCTTCCGCTCTCCGGGCGGACGCTCTACCACTAGACCATGGAGACATGCAGATATTGTTAAACTTGAAACCCAAAACGCTGTGAGTTCATTTTATTTTTTAACCATGAACCACACTTCTCTATGAGAGTTATCTCCATAATTGTAATATGTTTACTCCTGTAGCCTCCTGACACGTCAGTTATTATTGTCCAAAAGGGCTAATATCTCGCTGCACGGAAGCTGGGTCAACGTTTCCTGCATAGCGATATGGTGTAGGTCTGTCTCCTGATATAGCTAGACTGGTACCCTGCCCTTCGCCTCCCAGCAGCTGAAGGCGAGGAGCGCAAACGCTCAAGGGCAGGAAAACCAGTCTAGTACAGGACGAGGCCCCCTGTTATGATTGTTGCCGAATAGCATAAACACGTTTGAAGTAGTTATTTACAGTTAGGAATGTTTTACTAAATATTTTCATTATTTCATATGTACGCATATCATTATAATATACAGATGTGAGACAGAGAAAACTTCTTTCAAACCTTTGGTTAATCATATGGCCCCTTGTAATTTTCTCAAACCAATAACAATTATGAACAGACAAAATGACGAATTGTGGGTACGATAGAGGGAACATGTCAATATCACAAGTTCCCCGAGTGTTTGGCAAATCAAAAAGTGTACCTTCTCGACTATAGGATAAGTACCGCCAAACGGGTGGGGTTGCAATGAGTCGTGGGCTTTGCAGGCCTAAAAGAACAATACCTAAACACGATCGTCTCATTCCATTCAAATCTGTTATCAATGGAGAATTCCGTGCCATAGCAGGGAGGCAAATTCCAACAATACACCGTTACAAACTGGCTCTGTGCAGCCCGCCTGAAAGCAAGGCGTCCTGTGAAGGGCGTGACCCTAACAACTTGGCATTGTTGGCAAAGATTGGGGTGGACTAATAACACAGGGACGGGCTGTGCGCCATTGGCGTTATACCTTGTTTACAGACGAATCAAGCTCAGCCTCCGATTCACCGATGGCAGAAAACGTTGTTGGCGACGTAGAGGCGAGCGGTATGTAAGGGTACCAATTCTGGACCATGTCATGATGTGGGGCGGTATCACACATGACAGGCGAACTGATGTGGTTATTGTGAATGAAGATTTCACTGACCAGCGATTTGTTGACGAAATGTTGCGTCCTGTCGTTGTTCTATTCGCTTGAATTATCGGCAGAAATTTCGATTGGCAAGATAACAATCTCAGACCACAACGTGCACGGGGCGTCACCGATTATCTTCGACGTGAAGGCATTCAGGTTATCGCTAAACAAAGATCTGAGGACATCCAATAACGGGTCACGCCAGAATGACCTTTCATCCGACCAATCATGAAAGTGACAGTCGGAATGTGTTTTCTAATCATGCAAACTCGAAAACTTTAACACGGTGTATTCCGAACGACAGTTTCCGTCAAAATTATCGTCTATCTTTCGCTTCCGTGGGATAAACATTTGAACGGAGGAGGCGTTGCACAGTACGCGGGAAGCACTGTCATACAATCTCAACCATATATTAGACATTCCGGAATGTTTGTTTGTTCAGTTTTCAAAATTTTAATCGAGAACTGTGTCAACATATTTTTCAAGCTAGTCTGAAATGGAAGTCGCCAGGTTGAAACGAGTTCCGCAAAGCTCGAGAAAGCTGCTTTCTGATTGGCTGATGTTGACTTCTTGTTAGTCATTTTAGTGGTCAGTCAAAGTTTGCGAAATGTCGTTCTGACGTGACCCGTAATGGGATCTCCTCTTTGTTTAGCGGCAGCGAGAACTAAGATCTGATTTTAATGAGATTGCCTTATCACGGATCGAACGGTAATAAAACCAAATTTCATTTTATATCCCAGACTGCCTCCCTGGTATGGTCTAATGCCCGGAGAGTGGAAGGTTGGTAGTTCGATCCCCATACCCTTGTTAACAGATGGTACTTGTTACCCTCCCTGGGCCTTGGTACTCACAAATTCACTCACTCGCAGCAAAAACCTAGAATAGGCTTGCTTACTGTGAGTATATACACAATTTAAGTTTTTAAAAAACCTGTTTTAATATATCTCCAAATTGCAGTACTTTGTAATGTGTATTCTCATCATCGAGCAATGAGCCTTCAATCTCACCTTCAGTTAACTCAGAGTAATAGAGTAACTATGATAGTGTAATATCTTGATAAGTAGTATATTACCCGAGGTACCCTAGAACTATGTACTGTAAAAGTAATGCGTATGAATACCTCACGTGCCTGTGAAGGTAGTCCGCACGTGCTGTCACTCGGCTATGACGTATTGACCGGCCATGTGGCTGGCGAAATAAAAGTCTCTCCCCAACGCCTCCGGTTTTGTCTCTAGTCTGAGGGCTAGGTTATAACAGATAGTGTGTGATTGAAGTGTCACATCAATTATAGTAAGATTCCAACAATAACACGTCGGGGACATTTTAAGACGGGCTTCATACATGGTACCCACAAAAAGGACCATACATTGTACCAACAAATAGACCATACATTGTACCCATCAAAGGACCATACATTGTACCCATCAAAGGACCATACATTGTACCCATGAAAGGACCATACATTGTTTCCATAAAAGGACCATACATTGTACCCATCAAAGGACCATACATTGTACCCATCAAAGGACAATACATTGTACCCATAAAAGGACCATGCATTGTACCCATCAAAGGACCATACATTGTACCAACAAAAAGGACCATACATTGTACCCATCAAAGGACCATACATTGTACCAACAAAAAGGACCATACATTGTACCCATCAAAGGACCATACATTGTACCCATAAAAGGACCCTACATTGTACCCATCAAAGGACCATCATTGTACCCTTCAAAGACCCATACTTTGTACCCATCAAAGGACCATACATTGTACCCATCAAAGGACCATACATTGTACCCATCAAAGGACCATACATTGTACCCATCAAAGGACCATACATTGTACCCATCAAAGGACCATACATTTCACCCATTAAAGGACCATACATTGTACCTACAAAAGGGATATACCTTTCACCGATAAAAAGACCATACACTGTACCCATCAAAGGACAATACATTGTTCCCCAAAAAGAACCATACTTTGTTCCCATCAAAGGACCATACATCGTACCCACTAAAGAAGCATACATTTCACCCAATAAAGGACCATACATTGTACCCACAAAAGGACCAAACCTTGTAACCATGAAAGGAATCGAGCCTTGGTCTTCGGTGTAACGAGCTAACGCTGTATCCACTGGGCCACCTACCTCATCCCAGTTATTATGATAAAAGTAACTGTTGGTTGAAAGTTAAAAGGGGCAGTTGTGTGGGCAAGTGAATGATGGGATCGCACAAAGGTTTAAATCTTCAGATGGGTTCACTATGTGTTTCCCATTCCGGCATACCCTTTCATATTTGGATGGGGGTCGGGTAACCTAGTGGTTAAAGCGTTCGCTCGTCACGCCGAAGACCCGGGTTCGATCCCCGGCATGGGTACAACGTGTGAAGCCCATTTCTGGTGTCCCCCGCCGTGATATTGCTGGAATATTGCTAAAGACGGCGTAAAACCATACTCACTCACTCACTCACTCATATTTGGACCGTATTATTACTAAAATCCGTCTTAACCCTTTAACGTATTTACCTAAAATCCGTGTAAATTCTTTAACGTCTTTACCACGTTTTGTTGGCACAGCCCTACCAGTGACGTCATCAAATTCACAGAACGTGGACATATCATGCCGCAATGGTTGGTTGAAAGCAGATAACAGCTGTTACTACTGGACAGTTGCTGACCAGGTCACGTGGGCTGACGCCCGACGTGAGTGCCAATCCCGGAGGGCAGATCTGATGGTTATCAACTCTGCCAAGGAACAAGTGAGTAGTCACATCTAAACTTTATCAAGCGTAGGATTCCGACTTTAAGAATGTGTTTAAAATCACTATCAAGTAGTGATGATACAAGGTTTTCACGAAAAAGGTAGCTTATCCTGCCCCAGCGGTGTCATCCGTCACAAACACATGCGAAGGCAAGTCAAATTTTGACCTCGTTGAATGTTCATACCAGATAGAGAGCGTCCGCCCGGAGAGCGGAAGGTCCGGGGTTCGATCCCAGGCCGCGTCATACCAAAAGACGTTAAAAGATGGTACTTGTTGTTACCCTGTCTGGCGCTCGGCATTAAGGGGCTAAAACAAGGACTGGTCGGCTCGGAGTCAGTATACTGTGTCTGAGTGGGATATTCATGTTAAACTGCGGCATGGTATCTCAGTGAGCTAACACTATAAATCGGCATCAGTCCGGACTAGTACAAGCAGCAACACACACACACACACACATACGTACATGCACATCGCTATATAAGTGCAATAATCTTGGACGCGACGTTAAACCCCATTTCACCTCACCTCACCTCATACCAGATAGGGCACACACTTTAACACGTATTTTCTCTCTGCAGGACTGGGTGAACGTACAGACACAGGAGGAGAACACTGACGGATGGTGGGTGGGTCTCTCGTACAGTGTGGACGACGTGCAATGGGAGTGGCTCGACACCACCGTGGACATCAGCAACATGTCAGTAAATATCAGCAGTAAATCGAACCCCCTCATTAGAGACTCAGACAAAGATTATCTATTGAAGAGTCATCCATGGTACGGAGAGCGTAATATACACCTGGAATTATGTTAAGTACATGACTAAAGAAGCAGAAATGATGTCACTGACAAAAGGATCTCGGCTAAATGAAGTGACCTGTACCTCAACTCTCTGACAATAACATACAACCACATTGTCAGCTGAGGTTGTATTTTAATCACGATATTGTAACACAACCACCGGTGATGATTTCATCCTCATAGGATGGTCCTTAAATATGGAGCTGCAGAGTTAGTTCACACGACCACTCTGGATACAAATGACACTTTGAGTCAAGAATGACGCCCCGAACGCTTTCACCACTAGGCTACCCGACCGCCCCCTGAGGAACGAGCTAAATGTGCTCCAGCGGATTCAGATCTGGACTCACAAAGGAAGGCTGTCACTGCCCGGGAACGATGGAGTCCTGCGTTATCATCTATGAAGTGAGGTCTTGTGAGGTCTTGAAGTGAGGTCTTATGACAAGTGGGTGTTGACGAAATTGGGTACAGCAAGTGGCTTCAGGAGATCTCGTAGTACTGATTACCTGGGGCTGCCTTGTATGGTGACCGGGTCCAGATTGCCATCATTCAACCCAAGGTCATTCCCGAGCTCCCGCCATTATTGACAACGGGTCGGATCGCCAGGAGGGGGCGTTTGATGACTCCCCTGGACGCCATACCTGCTGCTCTCAAGCGGTTCCTCAAGGTTCTTGTTGACAGACATGTATTGCGTAGCCACTGTTGCTTCAGGACGTTATTCGATGGAAATGGTTCCGGACCAGACTATCCAGTGATTGACATCATGAGCATCGATCCACGCAATTGGGATGCGATGACATGCATCAACCAAGTCAGCGAGCCTGATCAGCCGATCCTGTTAGTGGCCTCTTACGACAAGCATAGTCACCTCTTACGGCAAGCATGGATTGCTGAAGACCTATTCTACCCCGGATCTTCACGGGTGCACATCCTTCTCATGCAACCTGGGGGCACGGGTGACCCAGTCGTCTAAGGCGCCGCGATTCGCTGTGCAGAGATTCGTCCCTTGGGCACGAAAGAAATCTAATGATGGTGGGTTCGAATCCCGGTTCGCCCCGATTATATTTCTAGGTTTGTCAGCACCATACCCTCCTCGTGGGTTTGACCGAAGTGGTAAAGGTCTGAGACCTGCATCACTTCGGGCTTTCCTCCCACAATGTGACATTAAGCTGACACGCCGAGATATAACTGGAATACTGTTAAAAGCGGCGTTGTCACTAAAATTCTTTAGTATACATTTGGATATGATTATATACAAAATCAACTTCATCAAAATATAAATTTCAAATCAATGAGACGGTTGTTCGAAGCGAAAGAATACACGCAATTCAAGTAACAAAATGGCGCTTTGCGAAACGTAAAGTATCGACTGACAAATCAGAAGAGAAATTCACAGTTTAATACAAATCATTTTCAACAAAATAACAAACGGTAAGAATCGGTATTAACTACATAAATGACCATCTGTCATTATATGACTTGTCAACGTTGAATTGACGTAAATCAACAGTTTGTGTACGAGCTGTCTCGTGTAGGCCAACATAGTTCCGTCAACGTGTTATGTTCACTGCAGTAAAATATCAGGTGTCATGTTCACTGCAGTGAAATATCAGGTGTCATGTTCACTACAATGACAATATCACTTTTCTCAACTTCAGAAAACTCAGTCTTTCACACTGAAGTATATAATAAATAGAACATTATACGAGTGTTCATGTCATACTATGTTTACGACAGAAGTGTCGTAAACATAGTATGACATGAACACTCATATAATATCCTCTACATCTGATACACAACGGGTGATTCCTAGTCATATCATTAATTATATGTATGTATGCTGAAAGGATGTATTACATTACGAACTAATATAACTAGAGAAAAATAAGATATTTTTGTACAGTCCGCACACATGGCGATTTTAACTGAAGTAAGTTGACGTCAAAAGTCTTATGGCCTCACAGCACAATTGTATCCCAGCACCCAAAATGTCTCATTTCTCCTGTTGGGTCAGGGGCGGTCGGGTGGTTAAAGCGTTTGCTCGTCACGCCGAAGACCCGGGTTCGATTCCCGACATTGGTACAATGTGTGAAGCCCATTTCTGGTGTCCCCCGCCGTGATATTGCTGGAATATTGCTAAAAGCGGCGTTAAACCACACTCACTCACTCACTCCTGTCGGGTCACATATGTTAATAACCATAGCGACACGTATACAATGAGGTGTGGAGTTTGTAAATCATCTGTGTTTATTAAAGCCAGTGGAACCTTGAACCCGACAACTACGAGAACGAAGACTGCTGCGCTATCAACGAGTACGGCAAATTTAGCGACGACGCCTGCCGGGAACACTATGGTTACATCTGTAAAGTACCACGGACTAAAGGTACGCAGCACTCACTGATGGATGGATGGATGGGTGGATGGATGGGTGGATGGGTGGATGGGTGGACAAAGTATGTTACTATATGATGTACAAAACCAAAGGTGAATAAGTATGTTATTATATGATGTACAAAACCAAAGGTGAATAAGTATGTTATTATATGATGTACAAAACCATAGGTGAAGAAGTATGTTATTATATGATGTACAAAACCATAGGTGAAGAAGTATGTTATTATATGATGTACAAAACCAAAGGTGAATAAGTATGTTATTATATGATGTACAAAACCATAGGTGAAGAAGTATGTTATTATATGATGTACAAAACCATAGGTGAAGAAGTATGTTACTATATGATGTACAAAACCATAGGTGAAGAAGTATGATACTATATGATGTACAAAACCATAGGTGAAGAAGTATGTTACTATATAATGTATATGTCATACCGGAAGAAGTATATTACTATATAATGTATAAAACCAAAGGTGAATAAGTATGTTATTATATGATGTACAAAACCATAGGTGAAGAAGTATGTTACTATATGATGTACAAAACCATAGGTGAAGAAATATGTTACTATATGATGTACAAAACCATAGGTGAAGAAGTATGTTACTATATGATGTACAAAACCATAGGTGAAGAAGTATGTTACTATATAATGTATATGTCATACCGGAAGAAGTATATTACTATATAATGTATAAAACCAAAGGTGAATAAGTATGTTATTATATGATGTACAAAACCATAGGTGAAGAAGTATGTTACTATATGATGTACAAAACCATAGGAGAAAAGTGTGTTACTATATGATGTACAAAACCATAGGTGAAGAAGTATGTTACTATATAATGTATATGTCATACCGGAAGAAGTATATTACTATATAATGTATAAAACCAAAGGTGAATAAGTATGTTATTATATGATGTACAAAACCATAGGTGAAGAAGTATGTTACTATATGATGTACAAAACCATAGGAGAAAAGTGTGTTACTATATGATGTACAAAACCATAGGTGAAGAAGTATGTTACTATATGATGTACAAAACCATAGGTGAAGAAGTATGTTACTATATGATGTACAAAACCATAGGAGAAAAGTGTGTTACTATATGATGTACAAAACCATAGGTGAAGAATTGTATTACTATATGATGCATATGTCAAAGGGTAGGAAGTATGTTACAATATCATATTTATGTCATAGCGGAAGAAGTATGTTATAATGTATATATCATAGGGTGGGAAGTATGTTACTATATAATGTATATATCATAGGGAACGAAGTATGTTACTATATGATGTATATGTCATAGGATGGGAAGTATGTAACTATACAATGTATAAAACCAAAGGTGAAGAAGTATGTTACTATATGATGTACAAAACCATAGGTGAAGAAGTATGTTACTATATAATGTATATGTCATACCGGAAGAAGTATATTACTATATAATGTATAAAACCAAAGGTGAATAAGTATGTTATTATATGATGTACAAAACCATAGGTGAAGAAGTATGTTACTATATGATGTACAAAACCATAGGAGAAAAGTGTGTTACTATATGATGTACAAAACCATAGGTGAAGAATTGTATTACTATATGATGCATATGTCAAAGGGTAGGAAGTATGTTACAATATCATATTTATGTCATAGCGGAAGAAGTATGTTATAATGTATATATCATAGGGTGGGAAGTATGTTACTATATAATGTATATATCATAGGGAACGAAGTATGTTACTATATGATGTATATGTCATAGGATGGGAAGTATGTAACTATACAATGTATAAAACCAAAGGTGAAGAAGTATGTTACTATATGATGTACAAAACCATAGGTGAAGAAGTATGTTACTATATAATGTATATGTCATACCGGAAGAAGTATATTACTATATAATGTATAAAACCAAAGGTGAATAAGTATGTTACTATATGATGCATATGTCAAAGGGTAGGAAGTATGTTACAATATCATGTTTATGTCATAGCGGAAGAAGTATGTTATAATGTATATATCATAGGGGAGGAAGTATGTTACTATATAATGTATATGTCATAGGATGGGAAGTATGTTACTATACAATGTATATGTCATACCAGAAGAAGTATGTTACTATATAATGTATATGTCATAGGGGAGGAAGTATGTTACTATATAATGTATATGTCATAGGGGAGGAAGTATGTTACTATATAATGTATATATCATAGGGTAAGAAGTATGTTACAATATAATGTATATATCATAGGGGATGAAGTATGTTACTATATAATGTACATATCATAGGGTAAGAAGCGAATAACTATACAACTTATTCACCATAGTGAAGAAGTATTGTACGGAGTAGGGTACAACAATTGTCGCTCTCTGTCACTAGACGAGGCATGCCCCACCCCTGCCACCGACGGACGTTGGTCGTTCCTGGACTACGCCTGCTACTTCATCAGCGACCCCTCAGACACCAGCGACCGCCTCACCTGGACGGATGCACGGACAAAATGCCAGGGCCTGAAACCCACGGGTGTGGCCGCAAACATGGACCTTGTATCCATAGTAACAGCAGACGAGTCCGTGAGTGTTAGGACACTGAGCCTGCAAACAAACTTCAAAATATTCTTGGCAAATATACTGAGTCAAATTAAAAACTTCACATTTTTAAAAGTAATCCCATATATGATATACAACGGACAAATGTATCAGATAAGGTAATTTTTAAATCATTAATGTCCAAAGAAGGATTTAAATTAACGGTGGTAACCATAATTTGTTCCAAGCACCTACGGTATTCGGTAATAACATCAACAGTTTAAATCATAAGTCCCAAGCACGAGAATCTGATGGCACACAAGTTCAGTAGCGTGTATGGCCACCATGTGCGTTGACAACTGCCTCACAACGCCTCCGCATGGACCTTGTGATGCTTGTGAACACATGATTGGGAAGACGACGCCATTGTTGCTGCAAAATGGTGCCAAGATCTTGCAAATTCTGTGGTTGGTTCTGGAGAGTGCGCAGACTTCTACCAAGAGCATCCCAGACGTGTTCGATGGGATTGAGGTCGGGAGACCTTGACGGCCAGTCCATGACGTTGACTCCCGCATTCTGAAGGAAATTCCTTGTCAAAATTGCTGTGTGGGGCCTGGCATTGTCGTGTTGGAAGATCAAACCGGGTCCATGTGCTGCCATCAAAGGCAGAAGATCTGGTGCCAGTACCTGGTCGCGGTAAGCAGCAGCGTTGAGGTTGCCACGGATGACAAGAAGCCTGGAACGTGCATTGCCACAGAAAGCACCCCACACCATGACACTTCCGCCTCGAAATCTGTCAACTTCCTGTACACAACACTGGGCGTAACGTTCATGACGGCGCCTCCACACCCTCGCCCTACCATCAGCAAATCGAAGATTAAATCGGGATTCATCACTGAATTCCTCTGAGTCCATCTTAAGTGTCGCTGTGCCCACAATTGACGTTGACGTCTGTGTATTTGAGTCAGAATCGGCCCGCAGTATGACCGTCGTGCTTGAAGGTGAAGATTCTGCTTTTAAAAAGATAAAGACAAATGTCTTACTGATTCACGCATTCAAGTGAACACTTCATTTCCAGAGATTCTTCAACGAAAAATTAGGTGACCTATCTAACGCGGGCATGGCAGTGAAATGGTGGACAGGCCTGAACGACCAACAGGCAGAGTCTATCTACAAGTGGTCTGATGGCTCCGCTTGGAACTCGTCCTATACGTGAGTGCTCATATCATTCGTCACAACTCGCCAATTTCCGTAACCTGCAAGAAGACTCGTCCCCCATTCGTCACCACTCGCCAATTTCCGTAACCTGTAAAAGACTCGTCCCACATCGATGAATGTTATGTCCGAAAATACGACGAACCAGTCAAAACTCGTATGACTACAAGTACTTCCGTCAAAGAATCCCTCAGGAATAATGTTTGATAATAATGTTTTGCATCTCAAAATATACCCAAGATACAGTTAAATGTGATCAATCATACTGTATAATACCGTTAGTCCCGATGTGTCTTAAATAACATCTGGAATATATATGATATCTGGGAAATATACGTGAATCATTACGCAACGAGTTGACAATACTTTTAGCTATGCCCCTTTGCCTTAGACGGAACACAGTCGCAAAAAATGGCAACGAGAGGCATTCGTCACCACTCGCCCCTTTCCGTAACCCGCAAGAAGACTCGTCACCCTATCGATGACTGTTATGTGAGAAAATACGACAAACTAATCAGAATGCGCGTATGATTTCAAGTTCTTCGCCAAAGAATCCTTCAGGAATATTTTTTGATTTTGCATATGTCTTGCATCTAAAAATATACCCAAGACACAGTTAAATGTGTTCAATCATACAGTAAATTCCGTATGTCCCTACGTGCTTTAAATTTCATCTGAAATATATATGATATATGTGAAAATATATGAGAACCATTACGCAACGAATTGACAATTGTTTGGGTATGCCCGTTTGCGCTAAGACGGAACCCGGTCGCATAAATGGAAACGAGAGGGGCACGAGTCGCTATTCAGCTTGTCCCGGAATAACACGAGTTGGTCACGAATGAACGAGAGGGACACGAGTCGCTATTCGGCTTGTTCCGGAATAACACGAGTTGGTCACAAATGGGCTGATATGTCGAACTAACACCAAAACGTGATTGAAAAATACTCGATTCTGATTGGTCAATCAGAGGTTACGAATCACACTAACTACAACTAATTGAATAACTGATTGGAGGCTTCGTCTAACATAAACATTGGTCCAATCTGGATTATTTACAAATCGCCGTCATATTGCTGGAATATTGGTGAGTGGGGCGTTAAACAAACACAAACCAACTGTAAATCCTTGAGTTAGTTACAGAATGAGGCAGTAACTTATAGGTCAGTGGGATAATGCGCATGATCTTTTCACAGTGAATTAAACATTACAACAAAAGGGGTATATTAATTGCAATCTTGTATCGAGGCGGTATATTTGATGCATCCCTTAATAGAGAGTGTTATCGATGATATCATAATCCAATTAATATACAGTGAGATCAATTGACGGGAACTACTTTCCTCACAAGCCCAGTTCAACGATGCAATATCTGCTTTCTCAAAATAGAATTGACGCACGTTCCAAGTAAGTGTAGGGTTTGGTGAAAAGGTATGACAGCTTGCTATGTTGGAGTGAGTGGGTTGCGATTAGCATCGCTTTTTACAGTATTCCAGTTATATCACGGCGTGTCAAGTTTATGTGGGAAGAAATCCCGAAGTGATGCACGTTTACCGCTTCGGTGAAACCCACGATGACGGGTATGGTGCTGACAAACCTAGAAACATAATCGGGGCGAACCGGGATTCGAACCCACAATCATAGGTTCTGGCGTGTCCAAGGGACGCAACTCTGCACAGGGAATTGCGGCGCCTTGGACGACTGGGGCACCCCTACCACCCGCTATGTTGGAGTTAGAGATTATAGAGACAGGCTATCATAATGTCTGTAAAGATCCATTTCAGCGGATATCAAATTATGATAACGTTTGTAAAAGTATCCTTTAGTGGAGGTACACGTTTATTAGGAAGTGTGTAAAAATCACAAGCAAAGTTCAACCCCAAATAGGCCTCATTATAGGTCAATATTCGATTATAAGCAAACCCCGGAGATAATAAAAGACGTCAGATGAGGTTTCTATGTTATTATTATCTTATATAGTCTCCCTGATATAAGTGTTTCCCGAAGACTTGGTGTAAACACATATCGCTACATATATGTTTACTTCGCCCAATTGTTAATATATATGTAGCGACATGCGTTTACTCGGTTTCTAAAGGTTAATTTAAATTTTTTTGGACAGCCCCTGGGATTACGCGCCGAGCACAGACCGCAGCGAGGACCAGAGTTGCGGACTCATGTACACCGGCGGCGTCGTGGACGACACGAAGTGCTCAGCCAGAGCCGGGTATATCTGTGAAACCTCAGCAGTACACAGTACGTATAGAACTTTACACGTACAGAGAATACCAGAAGACAATAGTAGACACTAGAATACAGAACAATAGTAGACACTAGAAGACAGAACAATAGTAGACACTAAAATACGGAACAATAGTAGACACTAGAATACAGAACAATAGTAGACACTAGAATACAGAACAATAGTAGACACTAGAATACAGAACAAAAGTAGACACTAAAATACGGAACAATAGTAGACACTAGAAGACAGAACAATAGTAGACACTAGAATACAGAACAAAAGTAGACACTAGAGGACAGAACAATAGTAGACACTAGAATACAGAACAATAGTAGACACTAGAGGACAGAACAATAGTAGACACTAGAAGACAGAACAATAGTAGACACTAGAATACAGAACAATAGTAGACACTAGAGGACAGAACAATAGTAGACACTAGAAGACAGAACAATAGTAGACACTAGAATACAGAACAATAGTAGACACTAGAGGACAGAACAATAGTAGACACTAGAAGACAGAACAATAGTAGACACTAGAATACGGAACAATAGTAGACACTAGAATACGGAACAACAGTAGACACTAGAATACAGGACAATAGTAGACACTAGAAGACAGAACAATAGTAGACACTAGAATACGGAACAATAGTAGACACTAGAAGACAGAACAATAGTAGACACTAGAATACGGAACAATAGTAGACACTAGAATACAGAACAATAGTAGACACTAGAGGACAGAACAATAGTAGACACTAGAAGACAGAACAATAGTAGACACTAGAAGACAGAACAATAGTAGACACTAGAATACAGGACAATAGTAGACACCAGAATACAGGACAATAGTAGACACCAGAATACAGGACAATAGTAGACACCAGAATACAGGACAATAGTAGACACTAGAATACAGAACAATAGTAGACACTAGAATACGGAACAATAGTAGACACTGTGACGGCATGCAAATAAAAAGCCAACGGTTTTATTGCCCAACAGGTGGTGTTGCACGTGCACGTCATGTTGGTGTGTTTCGGCTCCAGGCTCTCACGTGGTTGTGTTTTTGCGATTTTTTTCATATTTTCACCAAATGTCTGCAGTACATCATTCTTTCCCAACAAATCAATCCCAATCCATGCAGAAATGACCAGTATTAATTTTGTATGGATGTCGGATAACACTATGTCAGATATTTATGATTTTACTACTTTTGCTTTTCTAGTTTTGGAAGAATATAGGGTTTGCCAAATATGCCCCATGTTTTCTACAGAATGGACGCCTCTCGGGTGCAGTGCTCACTGGATACGTGGAGGTCAACACTGCTATCGTTTTCAAAATCGGACACAAGTCACGTGGACCGCCGCCCGGAAGAACTGCCAGCATGATGGCGGTGACCTGTTGAAAATCGACAACGTGGATGAGAAGGTAAGATGTCGCAAGACTTGAACATAGGTGAGGTGAGGTGAAATTGGGTTTAACGTCGCGTCCAAGATTATTGCACTTATATAGCGACGTGCATGCACGTGTGTTAGTGTGGCTGCTTGTACTAGACCGGACTGATGCCGATTTATAGTGCTAGCCCACTGAGATACCATGCCGCAGTTTAACATGAATATCCCACTCAGACACAGTATACTGACTCCGAGCCGACCAGTCCTTGCTTTAACCCCTTAATGCCGAGCGCCAGACAAGGTAACAACAAGTACCATCTTTTAACGTCTTTTGGTATGACGCTGCCGGGGATCGAACCCCGGACCTTCCGCTCTCCGGGCGGACGCTCTACCGCTAGACCACGGAGGCGGTCTCTTGAACATAGGAACACCCGTACTACGCTGTGTCAGGAGAGTGAATGATGCGCCACCACTATATACAGGTACAGTTCCACCACTGTAGGAGATAATTCAGTGTTGAGATATCTAGGGACACACATGAGATGAAAGGCTATTTCGGACAGAAAGAGGTCCGCTACACTCAAGATCATCACACGGCTCCAGATCCGTGAAGATCCGGTTAGAATAGGTATTCAGCAACCCATGCTTGTCGTAAAAGGCGACTGTGCTTGTCGTAAGAGGCGAATAACGGGATCAGGTGGTCAGGCTCGCTGACTTAGTTGATGCATGTCATCGTGTCCCAAATGCGTGGATCGATGTTCATGATGTCAATCACTGGATTGTCTGGTCCAGACTCGATTATTTGCGGACCGCCGACATATAGCTGGGATATTGCTGAGTGCGGCGTTAAACAACAAACAAACAAACAAACAAAATACACGGGTCCGCTTGTTTTACACAGACACCACGGGCAGCACTGGAGTAGTGATATTATATACTTTCTCTGTAACTCTTATTACCGCCAGATCCCACCGCATAAAGTTCGTACAACAATTTGAAATAGTTCCATGTAATTCTATTCGGAATTTATTGTTGATTTGGAGAAATTACCAAACGAAATCACTTGTTATATAAACATCCGGGATACCCCCAGGTGGTGTGTATCACGTGATCTATTTGATGTTCCAGATCGCATGGATTCGGAATGGGATGTTGTAGTACGGAAGCATTTTAGGGTCATTTGGTTTTATTCTTACTACTTGAAATTTCAAGACGCTATGTTAAAATTTCAAGATGCTAAGTTCAAATAATATTGAAATTTCAAGATAAATAAGTTTAATTTTCAGATATTAACTTGAAATTTCAAGATACTAACTTGAAATTTCAACTTAGTTTCTTAAAATTTCAAGAAAAAAACACAAAAACAAACAAACAAATGACCCTAAAAGGCTACCGTACATTTTCTGTTGAGCAGTACTGGTTCGACCACATGTACCTTGCCGGAGGGCGTGGCTACTGGACAGGACTCAACGACCAGGCACAGGAGGGAGATTTTGTGTGGGCGGATGGCTCAGCCCCAGACAACACGCTTGTGTAAGTTGTAATTATTTAAAATAGATCAAAGGTGCTCGGACAACCCGCACTGATGGCATGTCCTTATATGCTCAGCCAACACAGCAATTTGTATTACCTCCATAAAATGTGTATTAGTAACTCCTTTGTTCATTAATTAACGTCCCACCTATATTCCATCTATATGATGGATGTTTGTAAATGATCGAGTCTGGACCAGAAAATCAAGTGATTGACATCATGAACATCAGTCCAATCAACCATAAGTCATCGATCTTGACCACCCGATCGATTTTGTTGCCTCTTCCGGCTCTTTGTGGGGACCTATATACATTTTTATCTGTAATCCCCACGGGAGTGATGAGTGTTTCGACACAGTCACCTATATCTGGGAGTGGGTTGAGTTGGATATCTGAACAGTACTTTAGTTACTGGCAAACTGACCCGTGAAGATCCGGGGTAGAATAGGTCTTCAGCAACCTATGCTTGCCGTGAAGATTTGGGGTAGTATAGGTCTTCAGCAACCCATGCTTGCCGTGAAGATCCGGGGTAGAATAGGTCTTCAGCAACCCATGCTTGCCCGTATAATGCGACTATGCTTGTCGTAAGAGGCGACTTACGGGATCGGATGGTCAGACTTGCTGACTTTTTAAAATATTTTTTTGTTTATTTATTACTTTTTCTATTTGTTGCATTTCATATTGTTTTTACAAAACAGAAAAACAGTGTCTTCCATGTTACAAAAAATGTGTATGGCGTGATGACCAATATTTATAAAATCTGTCTGAATTCCCACAAATGCTGAACATGTGGAGATGAGGTAATACTGCTTCAGTTCATTCTGGAAGATCTGGAACGATGGAATATGCTTTGTATCTTTACATGAGAAAATAAGTTTTGGCAAAGAACAATTATAAAATTTAATGGGTCATTACTTCTGAATTGGTATCCAAGCAAAACATGTCGTGATATTTCCTTGGATTTGAGCGCTGGTATTTAGCCAAAGATCCAGTGCTGTCCAGATGCTGACTTGGTTGATGCATGTCATCGTATCCCAATTGCGTGGATCGATGCTCATGATGTCAATCACTGGATTGTCTGGTCCAGACTCGATTATTTACAGACCGCGGTCATATAGCTGGAATATTTTTGAGTGTGGTGTTAAACACCAAACAAACAAACAATTACTCGCGAACTGTGGTGGGAAGGTCTTGTGACTTGAATGGAAGACGTTTACGACTTGGTGACTTGGACTGCTGTGTTTGGTGCTGGTAACCCGGGAGCATCTAGCATTCGAACCTAAAACCCGCGGACCTGAACACGGTTAAGGTGCTCATCTATACCAGCAAATTTGAAGCATGAAGTTGCAGCTGCCACGCAGTCTGCCAGGTTACACCAGCTTACCATTGATGCAGTACTATTCATATCTAGCTGCCACTGTCGCCAACCAATCCCAAGCAGAGTAACGGAGAATCAGATTTGCATCGTAATATCGACAAACAGGGTAACGGGGGAACATATTTGCATCGTAATATCAACCAGCAGGGTAACGGGGGAATATATTTGCATCGTCATATCAACAAGTGGGGTAACGGGGGAACATATTTGCATCGTAATATCGACAAGCGCGGTAACGGGGGAACATATTTGCATCATAATATCGACAAACAGGGTAATGGGGGAACATATTTGCATTGTAATATCGACAAACAGGGTAACGGGGGAACATATTTGCATCGTAATATCGACAAACAGGGTAACGGGGGAACATATTTGCATCGTAATATCGACAAACAGGGTAATGGGGGAACATATTTGCATCGTAATATCGACAAACAGGGTAACGGGGGAACATATTTGCATCGTAATATCAACCAGCAGGGTAACGGGGGAACATATTTGCATCGTAATATCAACCAGCAGGGTAACGGGGAATTATATTTGCACCGTAATATCGACAAACAGGGTAAGTGGGGAACATATTTGCATCGTAATATCGACAAGCGGGGTAACGGGGGAACATATTTGCATCGTCATATCAACAAGTGGGGTAACGGGGGAACATATTTGCATCGTAATATCGACAAGCGGGGTAACGGGGGAACATATTTGCATCGTAATATCGACAAACAGGGTAATGGGGGAACATATTTGCATCGTAATATCGACAAACAGGGTAACGGAGGAACATATTTGCATCGTAATATCGACAAGCGGGGTAACGGGGGAACATATTTGCATCGTAATATCGACAAACAGGGTAATGGGGGAACATATTTGCATCGTAATATCGACAAACAGGGTAACGGAGGAACATATTTGCATCGTAATATCGACAAGCGCGGTAACGGGGGAACATATTTGCATCGTAATATCGACAAACAGGGTAATGGGGGAACATATTTGCATCGTAATATCGACAAACAGGGTAACGGGGGAACATATTTGCATCGTAATATCAACCAGCAGGGTAACGGGGGAACATATTTGCATCGTAATATCAACCAGCAGGGTAACGGGGAATTATATTTGCACCGTAATATCGACAAACAGGGTAAGTGGGGAATATATTTGCATCGTAATATCAACCAGCAGGGTAACAGGGGGAATCAGATTTGCACCGTAATATCGACAAACAGGTAATGGGGGAACATATTTGCATCGTAATATCGACAAACAGGGTAATGGGGGAACATATTTGCATCGTAATATCACCTATCAGGGTAACAGGGGGAATCAGATTTGCACCGTAATATCGACAAACAGGGTAAGGGGGGAATATATTTGCATCGTAATATCGACAAACAGGGTAACGGGGGTGCATCGTAATATTTAATAAACAAAATGATGAACTTTCAGTCAGTGGGACAGCGAGCCAGACAACGCTCACAACCAGGACTGCACTGTGATCATGAGCGACGGTTCCTTCAGTGACCAAAGCTGCGCGTCCCGGGCGGGGTACGTCTGTAAATACACAAAGGACCCCGGGGAGCAGTGCGCTACAGGATGGGCGACCTACCAACAGGCAGGGTGCTACTACATCAGCTCCGGCAACAGGAGCCGGGGGGTCATGTGGGACGAGGTGAAGCAGCGGTGTCTGGATCTCGCCCATATCTACGACAATGAGCTCCAGGCCTTCTATCTGTACATTCAGTCACAAGCTGAGATGGTGAGGACGATAACATTGGTTTTACGACAGAAGTTGTTAATCCGGACTGTTCACATGCCTGTCTGGATAAACGAGTTTTACGGAAGAACTTGTTAATCCGGACGGTTCACATTACTATATCTGGATAAACGAGTTTTACGGAAGAACTTGTTAATCCGGACTGTAATATGTCTTGATACACGACAGCATACAGCATGAATTGTTGTATACTAATTTGTTCCGAACTGATGCCTCCATATATAACTTTTAATTCGTGAAAATGTTCGGATAACAGAGATTTCAATTCTTCATAAAAACAATTTTGGGGAAATTGTGAAAAATGCCAGTTAATAGATATGTGCAAACTAAAAACAACATTATTTTAAACTAAACTCAAATAAAATATGGATACCAGTCCAAAGTAACGGGATTCTCAGTGGTTTATTTTGAGTATGGAAACATCGCTTTTAAATAATATTTCGAAATTTCAAGTGAGCATACGTCCTGCTGCGTTATCCGCCGCCCATCTTTCACCACTCCGTACCTGATGGCCGTCAGATTAGAAAACGTATGTTTGATATGCAGTAATTGCGTGGTGTGCGAAATAACATTATTAAGTACATATATTAAGTTTCGTTTCGGTATTTTGTTCTTTTCACTCCTCTATGGACATTGACCTTCACATACCAGTTTGTCTAGATTTACTGCATTTCCGACATTTCCGTCAGTGGTGGTTAAAAAATATTTATAGAATTCTCTGCTACTTTAAATTAGCCAATTAGTCATTTCTGCATGTAGCACAGTTATTGTTTAGTATTAATGTTTTGATGCATGGGGAACTTCTGTTACTTATGGGGGCGGTCGGGTGGCCAAGTGATTAAAGCGTTAGTTCGTCACGCCGAAGAACCGTGTTCAGTTCCCAATATAAGCCTATTTCTAGTGTCCCCCGCCGTGATATTGCTGGAATATTGCTAAAAGCGGCGTAAAACCAAACTCACTCACTCTGTTACTTATTTTCCTGTTTTTATAGCCTTTATAATCTAATGTTTCCAATATTTAGATACCATCAAGTGAGCTACAGAGCCTAAAGGCTACATTGTTTATCCGTAGATACTGAAACACGTTTAAAACACACAACATTCTGCTTTCTAATGTCAAAGCATGTATACACTGTAATCGGTATATCGAGTCAAAGCATGCATACACTGTAATCGATATATCTACTCAAAGCATGTACATACTGTATTCGATATATCTACCCAAAGCATGAAGACATTGTAATCGACATATCTACTCAAAGCATGAAGACACTGTAATCGATATGTCTACTCAAAGTATGAAGACACTGTAATCGATATATCTACTCAAAGCATGTATACCCTGAAATTGATATATCTACTCAAAAGATGAAGACACTGTAATCGATATATCTGCCCAAAGCATGAAGACACTGTAATCGATATATCTTCTCAAAACATGTATACACTGTAATCGATATATCTACTAAAAGCATATGCACATTGTAATCGATATATCTATTCAAAGCATGTATACACGGTAATCGATATATCTACTCAAAGCATGTATACACTGTAATCGATATATCTAATTAAAGCATGAAGACACTGTAATCGATATATCTACTCAAAGCATGGAGACACTGTAATCGATATGTCTACTCAAAGTATGAAGACACTGTAATCGATATATCTACTCAAAGCATGTATACTCTGAAATTGATATATCTACTCAAAAGATGAAGACACTGTAATCGATATATCTGCCCAAAGCATGAAGACACTCTAATCGATATATCTTCTCAAAACATGTATACACTGTAATCGATATATCTACTAAAAGCATATGCACATTGTAATCGATATATCTATTCAAAGCATGTATACACGGTAATCGATATATCTACTCAAAGCATGTATACACTGTAATCGATATATCTAATTAAAGCATGAAGACACTGTAATCGATATATCTACTCAAAGCATGCATACACTGTAATCGATATATCTTCTCAAAGCATGCATACACTGTAATCGATATATCTTCTCAAAGCATGCATACACTGTTATCGATATATCTACTCAAAGCATGTATACACTGTAATCTATATATCTTCTCAAAGCATGCATACACTGTTATCGATATATCTACTCAAAGCATGTATACACTGTAATCTATATATCTTCTCAAAGCATGCATACACTGTTATCGATATATCTTCTCAAAGCATGCATACACTGTAATCGATATATCTTCTCAAAGCATGCATACACTGTTATCGATATATCTACTCAAAGCATATATACACTGTAATCTATATATCTTCTCAAAGCATGTATACACTGTAATCTATATATCTTCTCAAAGCATGCATACACTGTAATCTATATATCTTCTCAAAGCATGTATACACTGTAATCTATATATCTTCTCAAAGCATGTATACACTGTAATCTATATATCTTCTCAAAGCATGTATACACTGTAATCTATATATCTTCTCAAAGCATGTATACACTGTAATCTATATATCTACTCAAAGCATATGTACACTGTAATCAATGTATCTACTCAAAGCATGTATACACTGTAATCGACATATCGTCTCAAAGCATGTATACACTGTAATCTATATATCTACTCAAAGCATGTATACACTGTAATCTATATATCTACTCAAAGCATGTATACACTGTAATCTACATATATCTAATTAAAGCATGAAGACACTGTAATCGATATATCTACTCAAAGCATGCATACACTGTAATCGATATATCTACTCAAAGCATGCATACACTGTAATCGATATATCTTCTCAAAGCATGCATACACTGTAATCGATATATCTTCTCAAAGCATGCATACACTGTTATCGATATATCTTCTCAAAGCATGCATACACTGTAATCGATATATCTTCTCAAAGCATGCATACACTGTAATCGATATATCTACTCAAAGCATGCATACACTGTAATCGATATATCTTCTCAAAGCATGCATACACTGTTATCGATATATCTACTCAAAGCATGCATACACTGTTATCGATATATCTACTCAAAGCATGTATACACTGTAATCGATATATCTAATTAAAGCATGAAGACACTGTAATCGATATATCTAATTAAAGCATGAAGACACTGTAATCGATATATCTACTCAAAGCATATGTACACTGTAATCGATATATCGAGTCAATATCCATACACACTGTAATCGATATATCGAATCAATACACACGCGCTGTAATCGATATATTAATTCAATACAAACACATACTGTAATCGATATATCGAGTCAAAGAATGTTCACACTGTTATCGATATGTCGAGTCAATACATATATGCACTGTAATCGATATATGAAGTTAATATACATACACACTGTAATCGATATATCGAGCCAATACACAGACACGCGCGCGCGCTCTCGCACACACACACACACGCTGTAATCGATACTAGTGTATCAATTCAACACATGCACAGTTAACGTTAAGGGAAGAGAAGCAAGGGCAAGAGATTGGTGAGTGTACCATGGCTTCATGTCTATATTGCACTGCAGACATGGTTGGTATCCCAGCTGCAGCTGCAGCCGGACCTCGGTATGATGTGGTGGACGGGGCTCAACGACATCACCATCGAGGGGGCCTGGACGTGGGCGACAGACTTCGCCAACCCGGTAGACATGACTTTGATGTGAGTGTTAAACATGAGCGTGGGGATAATCCGTTGAAGAGTGGGTTTCCTCTCTATGGTATCCTCTCACTCACTCGCCCCGTCAAACCCCACTCACTCGCCCCTCATTATCCAGAACCTGTCACTCATCCACTCGCCGACCCACTTATTCATGCACTCGCCGGCTCGCAAACCACTCACTCATCCCCCAAACACTCACTCATCCACTCGCCAACCCACGTATTCATGCACTCGCCGGTCATAACCCACTCACTCACTCGCCCCTAATCATCCCCCCAAACACTCACTCATCCACTCGCCAACCCACGTATTCATGCACTCGCCGGTCATAACCCACTCACTCACTCGCCCCTAATCATCCCCCCAAACACTCACTCATCCACTCGCCAACCCACCAATTCGTGCACTCGCCCGCTCACAACCCACTCACCCACCCCTCATCATCACCGACGCATTCACTCATCCACTCGCCAACCATGCTATTCATTCACGCTCCCACTCACTCATTCACTTTATCAATACAGTCCCTGGGACACGGAGCCTAACAACTACGGTGGCAACGAGGACTGTGCTGTCATGCTGCCGGGAGGCCGCTACAACGACATGCCCTGCACCGCCAAGTCCTACTACATCTGTAAGAGTGCCGCAGGTAGGATACACAAACCCCGATATTCCGAAAACTCACCATTCCGAACGATCCCTTTTCTGACTGTAAACTAATGATGACACTAGCTGCTTCAGTAAATCTCACCCATGTTTCAGGGCTCGGCGTGGTCGTGTCTTCCATGGTGATGTGGGCGGGAGTGCTGGCAACCCTTCTCGCAAGATAACACCGGAGACCCTTGTAACAGAACCTCGTTAATCCGGACACCGTTAATCCAAACACAGGTGTTCCCCAAGCCTCAGCCTCTGCTCTGTTGAAGGTCGCACCAACACAAGGCTGGCGCCCAAGAGCCGCACGATGTTATGGGAAACATGTTATGTTGTCCGTCTCTCCAACAATTTGGATGGATATCGAAATGTCCGGATTATGGAGGTTCACTTGTTTTACCTAGTTTGAATTTGCGATGTTACCAGGATACTCTTTACATACTCAAAAACTGCATGAACTTATGTCGACCTCGCGACATTAGCGAAACATATTGTGCATTTACAATAGACCCGCATTTTGTATCCTTTCAATTTCTAATTCAGCAATAATTGACCACGTTACAGATGTTTTTGCATTTTGCATTTTGGAATGATGAGTGAGTGAGTGAGTGAGTGGGGTTTTACGCCGCTTTTAGTGATATTCCAGCAATATCACGACACCAGAAATTGGCTTCACACATTGTACCCATGTCGGGTGACGAGCGAACGCTTTAACCACTAGGCTACCCGACCGCCCTTGGAATGATGAACTGGATACAAGTGGAGATTCCAACCCGGCTTGTTCTGTCGCCGGGCCCGGGGAAAAGGGCGTTCCAGAGGTTCGTCCCCATAACCCACCCACCCACATACTGACCCCCCCCCCCCCCCCCCCCCCCCCCCCCCCCCCCCCCTTGAAAACACCTTATGAACTAAACTTACTAATATTAAAGTATCTAATGTACTGATTGTTTACTTTATTCACCAGGCATAACGTATGTTCTTATATCATATATTATATCCACACTTATCAGTAAAAACACTAATCCGGATGCATCAGTGTTTTGTTAACCCAAGAGCGTCCAAAACTTTTCCATAATCATAAGAAGTATTTCCCTAATGTGCGATTCCGATTTTACCATACGTGTGTGTTTGTGAATAACTATCACATGGTGATGATACCACGTGGTCGCGAAAAGGTGAGCGTATCCTGCTCCACCGGTGACACGCGTCACAAACACGTCTACACGTCGACATCTGGCTATGATGTACAGTATGACCTTATTAACTTACATCAGAGACGCTGTCAAACAAACGCAGCTCACAAGAGATATTAACGTCAAACAATGATACACATCCGGGTTCTGCTGGGAATACAGCAATGGCAGCAATACCTGTCTAACTAGATAACGATGTGTACCATTGAATGTACTGTCCAATAACGATGATTATGTGGGTAAGGAGCTTTGTTGTAAATGTTTTAATCCGTATAGGATGTGTACAGCTTGATGATATGTATGTCATTGTGGATTTCCATATCAGGTGGCCTGGTGAGGTCATGCCTTTGTGAACCCCCGTTAAGTCATCAGTCATACAAGGAAAAACACGCACGTGTAATGTATACAATGTCTATATACATTGATATGTTGTCAGCTCATGGAGGCGATCTATGACAGTCTGACAAACCCACAATTGACTCTCATGTCAAACTTACTGATGTCATGGACAGTAACTACTGACGAGTGTGCGCCGTATGAGAAATAATTGTTTGTAATTGCTTGATAGACCCGCACTTCCTGACCCTCCGCAGCTACACATTGAAGGCTTGGTTGCAACATAAGCTCATAGGAATTCTTGTATATAGTAAACCATATACATTATTTTGTTTTCTCGTGATGTCGATTTCTAATATAGGATCGATGTGTGAATATAAAGCCATGCTCACATGACACGAACTTGATTAAAATATTCTAAAAGCGGCATAAAACCACACTCACTTACTTTTCTCGCAACAGTGCAAGTTTCTGGAAGAATCTGGACACGTTGTAGATTTTGTACTGTAGTACACTACAATCAACTACGGTTATAACGAACCCAAAGGGACCACTAATTATAATTAGTTATTACCGTAGTTTGTTATAAGCATATATACATCAAATGGACGTGGCCAAGAAATAGTTCGTTATATCCGTCAGGTCGTTATGAACGTGTTCGTTATAACCGTAGTTTACTGTATATAAAAGTAAAAAGCTGGAACACAATAACAACTATTTCTGGATACAAATCGGTGCCGACGAGCTAATTGATATATTGTATAAGTTCCTTCAAGTCATCACCGGTGGTGTTTCACGCAATCATATGCTTCAATTCTTTATGAAGACTTTGATAAGTCTTGTACTGTATATTTAGGATACTCACACAATGTAACACATTTCTTTATGAGCTGATTTAACATGACTTCCGAGATTGTTTGCGTTAATAAAATAATTAAACTTTCTGTTTGTAGTTTCTTTTGTGAGATTCTCACTATCCTCACTGACACTCCCCTATCGGTAACTCCCAACAGAATCTCAATGTCAGCCTATTTTAAGCGTCTTGTCATACGAATCGCCTTCAAAACAAAGGGGAAGTAGCGAGTGTGTCCTGGGATATAGAACAGGAACATAATAACGGATAGACAGAAGAAAGTATACACCATGTATGGTTACAAAAATGATACGGGTATCATGGTAGTGTTTTAGACCTTAATTTCGGCTACTGTTTTCAGCCTAGGATCGTTTTGAAAACGTCTGAAATATTTGATCTAATCCAATTTTCAATTTTCTTTTGCACGTCAGTTTACACTGCTTACATGATCACAGTAGCTGAGTACTTTATCATAAAAGCAAGGAGATTTTAACTCTCCACGTCGAAACAAATACATTTAAAGTCATTGATAGGTACCTCAATATATACGTTTATAACGAACACGCTCATGACGAACTGACGGATACAAGGAACTATTTCCAGGTCCCGTCCATTTCCTGTGTATAATGTTGTGCTCATGCTTATAAAGAATAAAAATTAGTTGTCCCTTTGAGTTCGTTATAACCGTAGTTTACTGTATGGGTACCTCGATCTATGTTTTATGGCGATGCTACCTTTAGGCCCAGAACATTTATCCATATCGTAGTTTGTTGCTGACCTTTGTCGCGAAAAACGGATATCTGAATCACATGTTGATGGTCTTCAGGACACCGATTGATGGTTGTGACCTGTCTGTGAGGTGAAAACGAGAACATCGGTTACTTCTTAACCTGAACAAGAATTGGTGATCTAGGTTTGTGATGAATAGAGTGAGTCAGTGTTGTGTCGCCGGCGCTTGTTTTAAACTCCAGGGTCCCTAATCTGCTAGAATTTTGTGGAATGAAAACAACGCAGTGCACCAATAGCAACAGCACAAATTACAAGGAGGGGAGATAACTCCTGGCACGTTTGAGAGCTGACTGAGAGCTTTTCACAGCCAGCATCACCCCATTTCTGAATCACATGTTGATGGTCTTTAGGACACCGATTGGAGGGTCTGACCTGTCTGTGAGGTGAAAACGAGAGTGGTGACTCTCACCAGGAAGCAGATGTCGATGTTAACATAGAACATCAGTTACCGTCCCGTATCACTGTCACGGATAGTTCCCACAACGTCCGTGAATCTGGTACTGTCACGCCAACCATGAGCAGTCTGAAGTCAACGATGATACAGCGTTATCTGACATCTTATGTCGACTTCAGACCGTCTGAGAAGAAAACACAACTCATGAAAAAATCCGTCTGAATATGAATCCTACCCAGTACAAGACAGATGCCTTGGCTGTTCAACGTGGTCAGACGTTGTGAATCCAACCCTTTTGAGCTCACCTGGGCAAACTGTAAAGGAGTCGTTATAAGAAGGCGACTAACGGGATCGGGTGGTCAGGCTCGCTGACTTGGTTGATGCATGTCATTGATCCCAATTGCGTGGATCGATGCTCATGATATTAATCACTGGATTGTCTGGTCCAGACTCAATTATTTACAGACCGCGGTCATATAGCTGGAATATTGCTGAGTTCGGCGTTAAACAACAAACCAACCAACCAACCAACCCTAGTCATTACACCAGTGCAGTTATTATACATGTACCAACAGCATGAGTGAGTGAGTTAAAAATATTACGTCACATCGGCAGTATCTCAACCAACAGCATGATCACATTCATACAGAATTTCTGAAACATTATCACCAACGCATCGTTCAGGAACAGACAATTTCTTTTTCGTAACTAATATTTATCAGTCATCGTCTCCATTGGATTAATTGAATCATTGCGCCATCACTTTGAATGTTTGAGAAAGAAACGAAACAATTATTTCTTTGTTGTGTTTATTTCAAAATGATAACAAGACATTAAATAAATAGAGACGCAGACCGTACCCGACATTTGAAGTCTTATTCCTTGATTTTACTTCAACCAAATATACCGCAGCATCCTCATCACTGCAACCACCTCATCACATACCCGAACACGTTGTCAAGTACACGGATAAGTATAGTTTGAGGTGAATGAGGTTGTAATTGACTTGCCTTTGCATGTGTTTGTCACGGGCGCCAGCGGTGGGGCAGGATACGCTCACCTTTTCGCGAACACCTGGAGTCATTACTATTTGATATTGATTCATAAACACATGCTCATGATATAGTCAGAATCGTACAATCGACCCTAGCTTGTTATTTCTATTACGACGCTGGAACTTGACCAGGCCAAGGTGCACAGTCCTTCTTCAGATACCGTGCTCCCAATCTCATTAAAATCAGGTCTTAGTTCTCGCCACCGCTAATGTGTTTTCAAACCATGCAGCCTCGAAAACTTTAAAACAGAGTATTCCGAACGATAGTTACGGACTTAACGACTGAATCTATACATTCTAGACCATATATTAGCCATTCGAGAATGTTCGTTTGGTCAGGTTTCAAATTTGTAAACGAGAGTTTGTCAAAATATGTTTCGAAGCGTAGTCGCCGATTTGAAATTAGTGCCGTAAAGAACGAGAAAGCTGCCTTCTGATTGGCTAATGTCGACTTCTTGTCAGTTATTCCATTGGTTGGTCAGAGTTCGCGAAAGGTCGGTCTGACGTGACCCGTAATGGGATGTCCTCAGATCTTTGTTTAGCGGCAGCGAGAACTAAGATCTGATTTTAATGAGATTGCCGTGCTCCAAGAATTTGAGAACTAAAACTCAAATTCAAAGGCCATCATTTTGTTGCAAAGAACAGTTGTAAGGATTTCCAAAACGGACACCTGACGTTGTTACTAACATAAAGTGTGTGAAGGTGATAATGATATCTACATCTTGCCTGCCAGTTGGCCTATTATCTCGGGGACGAGAACATCGGTTACTTCTTAACCTGAACTAGAATTGGTGTTCTAGGTTTGTGATGAATAGAGTGAGTGAGTGTTGTGTCGCCGGCTCTTGTTATAAACTGCAGGGTCCCTATTCTACGAGAATTTATTTTGTAGAACGAAAACAACACAACGCACCAATAGCAACAGCACAAATTACAAGGAGGGGAGATAACTCCTGGCACGTTTGAGAGCTGACTGAGAGCTTGTCACAGCCAGCATCGCCCCATTGAGACGTGTGGCGTGCGATATCGCGATCCCCGGTCGACTGATATCGCTGATAACTTCCAGATATGAAATAACATGATGCAGATACACGGTACGGAGAACCACAAGGGCCAGCTCGTATTAGAGAGGCTGATAACATCGGGGGCAGATCTAAATCACATTGGAAATAAAAATCCCTAAATATTATTACTTTGTTTTTATTATTGTTTTAACGTCGAAATCAGCAATATTCCAGCTATATGACGGCTGTAAATGATCGATTCTAGACCAGACAATCCAGTGATTGACATCATGAGCTTCGATAAGGCGATATGATAACATGCACCAACCAAATCAGTGAGTCTGACCACCCAATCCATGCTAGTCGCCTCTTACGACAAGCACAGTCGCCTTTTACCACAGACATGGGCCGCTTTAAAAGAACTGTTGTAACACAGATCTTCACGGTAAATATTATTATAGGGGTAGCATTTATTGATACATTTTCTTTTATTGATAGTAGGCATGCATTTTTTCGGACACCAAGTTACTTGCATAATAGCTCCATAAAGCTCCTGGTTAGACATGACGTTCAGCGACCTGTGCTTGTCATAGCAGGCGATTTAATGTATCGGGTGGTCAGGCTCTGTGTATTGGTTGGCGTATCCCCGTATCCCGACGGCGAGGATCGTTGCTCATAATATCAATCACTGGTTTGTCAGGTTCAGACATGATTATTTATAATTATTCTCCAGTGACATTTAACATCAATAACAGTAACAACAAACCGATCTATATTAAATATTGTACACACTGTATTATTTAACACGTTTGCATTAAAGGTGACTTTCCCGACAAAGGTTCAAAACTAACCATTCCTCTCGACAGATAATCGCGATCTTTGCCCCGTTCCGTAAAATCGTAATTCTTAAACTTGAACATGCGAACGGAACAAGGTCCCGATACCACTACGACCGCTGAAAACTAAACAGATGTCGATACCCTGGCCGCGGGATTCAGATCGAGGTAGGTGGCTTTTGAACAGTAGGGTACCTTGAGTAATACAATGCTGAAAGGGTTAATCGGTGACGCTAGTGGCCCGACGGTGTTCCACACACCGGCCGTCGACCCGAGCACATATATCATCAATAATATGTCATGGTGTCGCTCAGGAACTGGAATGAGGTTATTATTCTGCGGAGACTGTTGTGTCTCGTCTTGGGTAGGTACTGAACAGACCAGACAGACCATTCGCTCACCATTCAGTTTAAAATATTATTAGTTTAGTTCACCTCCGTTTGGATTCCGGGTTAAAATCTCCAGACATCATTGAATGTGGACAACTATATAGATCAGGGTCGGCTTGCACAAAGCGATCTTAGCACTACAACAACTCCCATACTCTAACGTGGACTGAAGATAGTCATAGTGCTAAGATCACTTTGTGCAAGTGGGACCTGGTTATCAGCCTCGGTGATTTAATTGACTTAGTGCATCGGGGCGTCGCTCATAATATCAGTCACTGGATTGTCTGGTCCAGACTTCATTATTTACAAGTTGCTGTCATCCAGCTGGAATGCTGCTGAGGTTTAAGACGCTGCAACTGGATTGAATTGCGTTTCTTTGTTGTGTCAGGACCCACTGTTGGTGTCGACGAATAGCGTATTCGTCCAGATTATGATCCACTGTTTGTCAGAACTTCGTGGGTTTCACGAATATTTTCCATGACCTTCATCACCAGAGAGAGATTTAGTGAAAGGGAGTTTTAGAGATTTAGAAAGAGAGGGAGAGAGAGAGAGAGAGAGAGAGAGAGAGAGAGAGAGAGAGAGAGAGAGAGAGAGAGAGAGAGATTAAGAGAAAGAGATTTAGTGAGAGAGAGTGAGAGAGAGATTTAGAGCGTATGAAAGAGAGAGTAGAGAGTGAAGAGAAATAGTGAAAGAGAGAGAGCATTCACAAGGTCTAGAGTGACGCACATGCAGGTAGTGAGGTGTTCAATTAATGTTTTCTGTTCATCAGCCATCCTCAGTGGCGCAGGGACGGCAACTACCGGGGCAACTCCATCGACGCCTACTTGCCATCATGGCCTACTCCGTGCAGGGTCAAGCTGCTTCCGGTTCGGCAAACAACGCATGCTCAGTTGGAAGGAAGCCAGCGCCGAGTGTGCCGCTCTGTCGTCCACCCTGATCAGGTTCCAGACCCCCGAGGACATCGTAAGTGACACGTGTCTCAGTGAGTGAGTGAGTGAGTGAGTGAGTGACTATCAGGAAGTAGACAGAAATATTTTTACAAAGTTCTTGAATCAAAAGTGAAAATTGTACAATAGTACATTCTGGAATGTCTAACAGATGGCCGAGATTGTATGGCAGTACTTCCAACGGGCGTTTGAAATGTTTATCCTATTGAATTCAGCGAGAGTGAGTGAGTGAGTGAGTTGGGTTAACGCCGCTTTCTATTATTCCAGTTTTCCAGTTATATCAGTGCGTCAGCCGAAAATGATGCAGGCCTCGGGCGTTTACACTTTGGTGAAACCCACGAGCACGGGTATTGTAATGACAAACGTGGAAACACAGTTATGGCGAATCGCGATTCGAACCCATAATCATAGGTTTCTGGCGTGCCCAAGGGGCGCAACTCTCCACTGCGAATTGCGGCGCCTCAGGCGATTGGGCCACCCGTAGAGAGAGATAGACGATGAGTTTGACGGAATCAGTCGTACAGTCTCGAACTACCTCGTATTAAATCTGTTCGAGGTTGCATTGCATTAACACATTCAGACTTTCACTTTTGCGATCTCGTAAGCGACGCTCTGATTGGTTGGATGAAAGGTCGTTCTAATGGGATGTCCTCAGACCTCGGTGCAGCGGTAGCGAGCACGAAGAACTGATTTTAATGAGATTGAGTAGAGACACTAGAAAGTGGCGTCTCATTATGTGGGGAATCGAACAGGGGTCTTCATCGTGACGAGCCAACGCTTATACCACTAGGCTTCCTGAATGCCCTTTAGTAAGAATACAGTTAACAAGAAATAGGCTTCTTGGGGATTTATATATAGGGTTATACCATTAACCGCCTTTCAGTTCAGAATTAGTACGAAATATACATATTTCGACATAAACGTTACGTAGTGCAAATGGAATTATTACAGAATCACAAATCAATCTTCGTTTGTTATATCGAGAGCATGGTCTGTGTATTTTGTACCTTTAGGAAGCGTTCTCTGCCATGGCCAAGACCCTGAAGGTGGACGGTTGGTGGACGGACCTAACCACACTAGACCACCCGGATGCGTGGACGTGGGGCAGTAACCAGGCGGTCAGCAACGGCACCGTGTCAGTAGACACCTCTTTATTTTAGCCACACAGTGCGTGGGTATGGTATTACGCCGCTATTAGCAATATTCCAGCAATATCGCGGCGGGGGACACGGGAAAATGGGCTTCATATATTATATCCATGTGAGGAATCGAACCCCGGTCTTCGGCGTTAGGAGCCGTCGTTTTAACCACTAGGCTACCCCACCGCTCCTTATCTAGACAGTGTGTTCAGTCCAGTAAGACCACGTTAGTCCAGATATTGCCGGCCTTGCATGGACCCGTTCCATAAACCGATCTTAGCGCTAAGTCGATCGTAACTCCCATTCTTTTACAGTGACTTATGACAGTCATAGCGGTAAGATCGTTTTGTGGAACCTGTCCAGGATGCCGTATTACGAAACAAGTTAGCGCTACGACTGTCGGAAGTCTATGTTAAGGTTTGGGAGTTACAATCACCTTAGCGCTGAGATCGCTTTGTACAACGGCAACCAGGCAATAACCGGTTGGAACGTCCATACGTAACTTTATACTACTATAAAGAACCCGCAATTCTTTCATATTACTACAGTTAATCCGTCATGACATGGCATATCAGCCATAGTGATATGAAAAATATAGTTCACTACAAATTTCTTATTCGTTGAGATATTTGTTAGTCAGGACGAATCTGCTTGAGAACGCAGCGTCGAAATTAACGGTTGTCACTGTAGCTGTGCATTTTCTCAAACAATATTTTTTTTTATCAGAAATAAAATAATTTTGAGTTACGAAAAAGTTTAGGAACAGGTTTTTGAAAAAAACAAAAAAGTCCTTCACAAGCGGAAAATTCGTTCTTAGAAATAATGAATGTCAAACTGTGAAGATGAGTAATGCATATTACGAATGAAAAGAAAACATCATTATCAGTTGCTCACTAATCAAAATGAAAAAACGTTTTCTGGATGGTTCATGAAATAATGAATTACCATAAATTATCAGGGTATGGAACCAGGAACCTGATGACGTCAAACACGCCGAAAACTGCGTCGCCGTCAACTACCTGGGCGGGGCTAGCGACGACATGTGTACACGCCAGCTGGGGTATATATGCAAGGCGGATTCTGGTGGGTACATTTGCGGAGTAAAGCTTTCAGTAAAGCTTTTAAAATGTTTAACGGTAGTTATATGGAGAACATAGCCAGATTTGGCGCATCAGTGACAAAAATGACGCCCGATGCAATTCCCTGTTTTGACTTGTACCATAAGTTGACGGAGGAACATTGACTTGCCTTTGCATGTGTTTATGACGGGTGCAACCGATGGGGCAGGATACGCTGACCTTTTCGCGAAAGCCTAATATCATGACTATTTGATGTGTGATTAATACAACACATACTTCATATGGTATGATTGCACAATGAATATGTTATGATTATGGAAAGGGTTTATATTTGTTGGCGAATTCGGTTACATGCGAGTTACATAGCTGACCCCAAACAGGTTAATGAGTTTGGAGTTACGTCACACATTATTCCAGCTATGACATGACAGGGACACCAAGAGCAGGATTCACGCCCAACAATGTTGTGAGATAATGTGAATTGGGGTTAACGTCGCGTCCAAGATCATTGCACTTATGTAGCGACGTACGTGCACGTGTTTGTATGTATGTGTGTGGTTGCTTGTACTAGTCCGGACTGATGCCGATTTATAGTGCTAGCCCACTGAGATACCATGCCGCAGTTTACCATGAATACCAAACTCAGACTCCGAGCCAACCAGTCCTTGTTTTAGCCCCTTAATGCCGAGCTACAGACAGGGTAACAACAAGTACCATCTTCTAATGTATTTTGGTATGACGAGGCCTGGCATCTTTCCGGGCGGACGCTCTACCACTGTGCCAGACGGAGGGGGTCTCCAACCATGTTAGAACCAGACTGAACGACTACTAAACGTCCGTGGAAATGGTAAATCCATTTTACGTTTAGTATTCGTTCAGCCTGGTTCTAACATGGTTGAAGACCCCCTCCATATATATCCTGTGCTGTGTCCTGTCTTGCAGTTGCTGACGGGTGTGATGACGGATGGTCACTTGTGGGAAACTCTTGCTTCTACGTTAGTGACACGTCAGACTCCACCCAGCTCGTCACCTGGGATACGGCCTTGACACAGTGCGCTCAGATGGCGTCAGCAACTGTCAGCCGCCCCACGCTCGTCAGCTTCAAGGACAGCCAAGAATATGTGAGTACCACGCATACGCATGCCTGTGCGCATGTGCACACACATCCTGAGGATGTAGAGCATGTGCGCATATGCACGTGTCTCACTCTGGGGATCATGGGATCGAGGTCGATAGTCCTAGCCTTGCAGTCACGGTAAATTTCTTGATACGTTAAACCTCAACAGTCGTTTCAGCAATAACAGCATGACAATAATCGTACATCTTCATAGTGAGTGAGTGATTATGGTTTTACGCCGCTTATAGCAACATTATAGCAATATCACGGAGAGGGACACAAGAAATGGGCTTCACACAATGTACCAATGTAGGGAAAATCGAACACGGGCCTTCGGCGTGATGAGCGAACGCTTTAACCACTACGCTACCCCTCCGTCGCGTACATGTTCATAAAATAAACCAAAGGGAGGCCTGGCAACTTTATCCTCAGGGGTGTTGGTCGATGACCAAACATCCTGTAAATCTACCGTTGTGTTGCAGTCGAGTGTGATGAAGCTGCTGACGAAGGCGTACTACCTGGGGTACCGGTGGTGGACCGGCCTCAATGATCGGGCAGTGGAAGGACATTGGAGGTGGCCCAATAGCAGCGCGCCGGCGGATGCATCCATTATGTAATACAGGGAGAAGGCGGCAATAAGTGGTTCACTGGTGCCCAATCCTTTTGTTCTTTTTTGACAATAAAATATGTTTAAATAAAATATAATTATGTAATATAATCATTTACTGCGGATAGCATATACCTTCACTTTCAAACTGATGAATTATTTTAAATTTCACATATTCTAAGTCATATGATATCGTATAATGCATGTACAAAGTACTTCTGGATCAAAAAGTATATAACGAATTTACTAATTAGTCTACTATTGTATAACACATGTATGTATACGTTAAATATAATAAATGCCTTAAATCATTAACTATTATGTCGTGAATATACTCATTCCGTTCAATATTGTATAATGCATGTACTACGTGCATCCGATAATATATAACGCATTTATTAAATGCATCCAATATTGTGGATGCATGTATTGATGTACTGTATACATGTTTACTATATGCATGAACTTATACGTCAAGTAAAATAATGGTCTTTAGTTTTTTGTATGATGCATGTTTCAATATGATACACAATATATACTAATGTAGTTATAACATCAATGTGGAATAATACTTATACCATGCAAAACATTTTAGTCACTCGCACACTCCTACAGAACATACAACGAATACAGAAACTTGTCTAAATGTGAATCCTCCCGTCTTGCAGCCATTGGCAACATCTACCGAACTCCCTACAGGCGACGGAGCGGTGTGGAGTGGTGCACAGTAACGGCCACATATCCTACGACCACTGCGACAACGACAACTTCTTCGCCTGCAGATACCACAGCGCAGAAGGTACACAAGAACGCTTTGACATGTATTTACATCCTTACTGAACATCACTTTCACACAATGTTTTTTTTGTAGAGGAACTGTAAATGGACCAAGCAATGAGGAAAAACACCACATCATTCAAACCGGGCAGTTTTGAGACTACCTGTACTCGTATTCAGGGATGATTGTACTGTCCGTTATCACTGTCAATTTATGAAAAACTAACACTATTTAACCTATTTCTTGCTCGCTGAACCTATTTAACAATGTATACATTGTCTGAACATTTGTGTTGAGTTATTATGACGGATGCATTGCGAATTACATTCTGCTTTAACAATGCCTATCTGCGTAAAGAGTCATCAGTCATTGAAGCTAAGCTGTCATAATATGCAGTCACAGGTGATCTGAAATCAGGTTGACGTATGTATTATCCGAGTTGACTAAATTAGCTTAATTGTTTTGCTGAGTTAACTAAATAATCACATGAGGTGACTATTTCCATCCATAACCTAGATGTTACAGCACAATCTTCATTCTTATATTAGGTATTGTGGAAAAAATATTTAAATCGTTGAGAATCTGGGATTTGAAATCATGACCCGCATGTTCTAACAGCTAAGGGACAACGTTCTGCACAGGAAGTTGAGTACCATCGTAGTCAACCTTATGTCAGCGAGGCATGCATTAATAGAAATGGCTATGGCATAATGTGAGTGAGTTGAGTTTAACGCCGCTTTTAACAGTATTCCAGGTATATATGTGTCAGTTCAATGTGGGAGGAAAGCCCGAAGTGATGCAGGTCTCCGACGTTTACCACTTCGGTGAAACCCACGAGCACGGGTATGGTGCTGACAAACCTAGAAACATAATCGGGGCGAACCGTGATTCGAACCCACAATCATAGGTTTCTGGCGTGTCCAAGGGACGCAATTCTGCACAGCGAATCGCGGCGCCTTAGACGACTGGGCCACCCATGCCCCCATGGCATGATGGATAGTGTGTACCTGGTTTGATTATCCAAATTATAAAGGATTGAAAAGACTTGTAAATGCCATCCATAAAATGGATGTCAGGTAAACTCTATCTCAGGTTCTGAGTTATAACTGATTTGTGGTTTAACCTAATGAATTCACCGTAGCTGATGTTCACGTGGAAGAGGAGTTGGGCTGTCCTGGGCTGTGGCTGAGGGCGGGACACAAGTGTTATGTCTTCAACGCCAACGTGACCTTGACCCAGAGTCAGGCAGTCGCTTTCTGCCGCCACAGAGGGGGGCGTCTTCTGAAGGTCGAAACAAAAGATCAGATGGTGGGTAACCCTTCAGTGCTCTTGATGGTAGGTCCTCTTGGGATGTGGTGCCCTTAGTGGGAAGTCCTCTAAAAATGTTGTGCCCTTGGTGGGAAGTCCTCTTGAGATATGGTGCCCTTGGTGGAAGGTCCTCTTGAGACATAGAGCCCTTGATGGGAAGTCCTTTTGGGGTGTAGTGTTCATGTTGGGACGTCCTCTTTGGGTGTAGTGACTTTGGTGGAAAGTCCTTTTGGAGTGTAGTGCCCTTGGTGGGAAGTCCTCTTTGGGTGTAGTGACTTTGGTGGGAAGTCCTCTTTGGGTGTAGTGACTTTGGTGGAAAGTCCTTTTTGGAGTGTAGTGCCCTTGGTGGGAAGTCCTCTTTGGGTGTAGTGACATTGGTGGAAAGTCCTTTTGGAGTGTAGTGCCCTTGGTGGGAAGTCCTCTTTGGGTGTAGTGACTTTGGTAGAAAGTCCTTTTGGGTTGTAGTGACTTTGGTAGAAAGTCCTTTTGGGTTGTAGTGACTTTGGTGGAAAGTCCTTTTGGGGTGTAGTGACCTTGGTGGAAAGTCCTTTTGGAGTGTAGTGACCTTGGTGGAAAGTCCTTTTGGAGTGTAGTGACCTTGGTGGAAAGTCCTTTTGGAGTGTAGTGCCCTTCTTGAATCCTCTTGAGATATGGTGCCCTTTGAAGGTCGTGCCCTTGGTGGGAAGTCCTCTTGGAATGTAGCGACCTTTGTGGGAAGTCCTCTTGGAATGTAGTGACCTTGACCGGAAGTCCGCTTAGGGTGTAGTGTACTTGGTGGTAAGTCCTTGGAATGTAGTGATCCTTTGGTAATCGAGTTAAGGAAGTGACCCAAATGTAGTTGGAGGATTGTCGTCTTGGGGAAGTGGTCCTTTTGTAAGACGCCACCTTTGTTAAAGTGATCAAATTGCAGATAGTCACATTCGCGAGTCTTGGCTTATGATGTACCTGTATGGAGAAGTTTGCTTTGAGGTCCCTGTCATGTAGGCACCAGGATTTGTTACAGAGATGGATTCAGCTACAGACAGAGCGTATCCTAGGCAACAACTTCTGGACAGGTCTGGAGCGGTATCCTACAGGAGGCAACAAATGGCGGTGGTTGGATGGGGACCCGGCTCAGATGAATCTCATGTGAGGAGCACATACAATCAGTTCACATTTAAATTTAATCACAGTATTTATATAAACGTTTAAAACCATTAACGTTTTAGAATAATTATAGACGTTTGCATAATTAGATTGCCATGTAAAGACCTTTTGTTCTTGTGCACAACACACCTCCACCGCTTTTACGTCTCGACATTTATTTGCTGTTCATATTTTCTTTGATCAATAAGGAGAACGAATTCTTAAAAACATGATACTGAAATATGTTAATACAGCATCACTGTTGATATATATATGTCTGGCAGACCATGGACACTTCAACCGGACAACCTGATGGGTGAAGAAAACTGCGCCTATATCAGCCACGACATTAGCTACTTTGACGCATCCTGCTTCTCCCAGGCCGGCTACATCTGTGAGATACAGGCAGAAGGTAGGGGGATGTGGACATCTGTGAGATACAGGCAGAAGGTAGGGGGGATGTGGACATCTGTGAGATACAGACAGAAGGTAGGGGGGATGTGGACATCTGTGAGATACAGACAGAAGGTAGGGGGGATGTGGACATCTGTGAGATACAGACAGAAGGTAGGGGGGATGTGGACATCTGTGAAATACAGCCAGAAGGTAGGGGGGATGTGGACATCTGTGAGATACAGACAGAAGGTAGGGGGGATGTGGACATCTGTGAGATACAGACAGAAGGTAGGGGGGGGGGGATTTGGACATCTGTGAGATACAGATAGAAAGTAGAGGGATGTGGACATCTGTGAGATACAGGCAGAAGGTAGGGGGGGGGGGGATGTGGACATCTGTGAGATACAGACAGAAGGTAGGGGGGGGGATGTGGACATCTGTGAGATACAGACAGAAGGTAGGGGGGGATGTGGACATCTGTGAGATACAGACAGAAGGTGTGTGTGTGTGGTGGGGGGGGGGGGGGGGGGTGGGGAGGTGGAAGAAGATGTGGACATCTGTGAGATATAGACAGAAGGTAGGGGGGGATGTGGACATCTGTGAGATACAGACAGAAGGTGTGTGTGTGTGGGGGGGGGGGGGGGGGGGGTATGTGGACATCTGTGAGATACAGGTAGGCAGTAGGGTTCACTATCTGTCAGACACAGGCAGAAGGTTGGGCGATATGCTACCGTCTGTGAGATACGGAGTACTGATTTTCAAACGGCCATGTAGACCTGTGTATGTAGGTGAGTATTGTTAAAGCGTTCGCTCGTCACGCCGAAGACCCGGGTTCGATTCCCGATATTGGTACAATGTGTGAAGCCCATTTCTGGTGTTCCCCGCCGTGATATTGCTGGAATATTGCTAAAAGCGGCGTAAAACCTTACTCTCTCACTCACCCTTAGTACAGAGGCAATAAGGTTATGGAATATAGATGGAACCTGACACTAGCGAGGGAGCGAGTAGTGATATTAACTATATTTCAGTCAAATCAGAGCTTTTCTACAGGTGCGCCCTGCCCGTTAACATGGGTGACACGTAACTATGATGACGTCACAACGTGTTACTACATCAGCAACAGAACTACTTCCGCCATAGTCACGTGGTGGGAGGCGCGAGAGTTGTGCAGGAAGCTGTCTGGTATGGATGAGGCTTCATTGCTTGCTGTCAACGATCAGCACGAACAGGCAATCGATTTTAATTAATTAATTAATTAATACAATATTACTTTATATTCATTTGTTTTAACATATGCTGTAGGTTACTGAATCAGTTCAAATGACAAATAGGTGTCTCGAATATCGGGATCTGGACAGTCGAAATAAGTTCGTTCCTTAGTCGTATCAGAATCATATTGTCGTCGGTGAAAACCGTGCGTTTATGATCCCTGGTCTGTCCTCATAACCATGCTTGTATATGTCACCATGGGTTTACGTCTTCGAAACGTGTCAGTGTGAGTTCATCCAACACTTTGCTGTCACGCAGTGATAACCGAAATACTTTTCAACCCGTGAAGATCCGGGGTAGAATTGGTCTTCAGCAACCCATGCTTGCCGTAAAAGGCTACTAACGGGGCCGGGTGGTCAGACTCGCTGACTTGGTTGATACATGTCATCGTATTCCATTTGCCTGGATCGATGTTCATGATTTCAATCACTGGATTGTCTGGTCAAGACTCGATGATTTACATACCGCGGTCATATAGCTGGAATATTGCTCAGTGCGCGTTAAACAACCAAGAAATAACCAATGAAAAAATACTTTTCAAACGGTCGTTATAACACAACCACTTTCTGTTAGTACATGACGGTTCACACGACACCCACAGACAATTCCTGCAACATTAACCAGTGTTATCTAGGGGTTCCCTCTCATCGGTCAGAATCCTAAGTTGTCAGATAATAACGAGGAAAGGCTGAAACACCTTTTGTTGCAATGAACCAGGCCTAATGAGGACCAGCTATCCTCATGTGCAAGAGGATATACAATCTGTACAATAGTGATGATGATAGGGAGATCCATACCCATGTGTATGGAGACACAGCAAGATAATTAGAAACAATATTTTCTGTCATTTTCTACTTACAATTTTTTATAAAAAAAATCATTAACAGTTGATACATTGCTATAATCACTGTTTGACGTTGGTGACATTGAGTAAAATGAAGACAAAATATTTAACATCCACTATCCTGCTGTTTCTCCCAGACCTTCATTGAGACCCGGCTGGGGTCGTACCCCGAGTCCCCCGTGGGGTGGTGGACGGACCTGAGTGACGCTGCTGCTGAGGGGGTGTGGCTGTTCGCGGACACCTGGAACCCTCCCCCTCAACCAGGCTCTATGTGAGTTGGCCGGACCGTGTAAACAACAAGCTTATGTCAACAGTTTCAAAAAAGGGACTGAACATTGTCCATTATCATAAGAAATCCCTGCCAAAATCTGAGACTATTGTACGATTCTGAGTATATCATGAGCATTTGTTTATGAATCACAATTAAATAGTGATGATACCAGGTGTTCGCTAAAAGATGAGCGTATCCTGCCCCATCGGTGGCATCCGTCACAAACACATGCAAACACAAGTAAATTATTTACTTCCAAAAGCTGCGAACTAAAAGGAAAAAGAAGGTTCTGTTTATCTCTGCAGTCGATGTATTCACGACATATGATGTTCTTGCTATCTGTGCAAGTTCATGTCGACCTTATGAGTCAAAACCTTATGTCAAGTGATCCGGCTGTCTGTGCAAGATCATGTCCACTATATCAATCAGAAAATTATATCATGTGATCTGGCTATCTCGATCTGTGCAAGTTCATGTCGACCTTATGAATCAGAACCTCATATCATGTGATTTGGCTGACTGTGCAAGTTCATGTCGACCTTATGAGTCAAAACTTATATCAAGTGATCTGGTTATCTCGATCTGTGTAAGTTCATGTCGACCTTAAGAATCAGAACATTATATCATGTGGTCTGGCTATCTCGATCTGCGTAAGTTCATGTCGACCTTATGAATCAGAACCTGATATCATGTGATCTGGCTATCTCGATCTGTGTAAGTTCATGTCGACCTTATGAATCAGAACCTCATATCATGTGATCTGGCTATCTCGATCTGTGTAAGTTCATGTCGACCTTATGAATCAGAACCTCATATCATGTGATCTGGCTATCTCGATCTGTGTCAGTTCATGTCGAATTTATGAATCAGATCCTTATATCACGTTGTACCTTGTCTCATAGTCAGACTCTTATCATACATGCTTGTTTTTGTTGTAGTAACTGGGCCCAGGAGCCAAACAATCACGGGGGTAACGAGAACTGCGCCGTCATGTACTACGGCGGCCAATACAACGACGTCCCTTGCGACGTCCGAGCCAATGTTGCCTGTGAGAAGATCGCCTGGGGCATTGGAGGTAAGGTGTGATGGAGAGAGGGATCAGTTGGGGTAGGATGGGTAGGACAGATAGGGGTGGGTTCGGAAGCCGGGTCGAGAATGTGATTGAGGATTGGCGTGGTTTAGTAGTTGAGGTCAAGTGGGATTATTGGGTGGGCAGGTTAGGTGACGTTGAGGCTGACATGTGACAATGTAAGGTGGCGTTGGGATTTGAGGGTGGGCAGGTTAGGTGACGTTGAAGTTTACAGGTGACAATGCAAGGTGGCGTTGGGATTTGAGGGTGGGCAGGTTAGGTAACTTTGAGGTTTACAGGTGACAATATAAGGCGGCGTTGGGATTTGAGGGTGGGCAGGTTAGGTAACTTTGAGGTTTACAGGTGACAATGTAAGGCGGCGTTGGGAGTATAGGGTGGGCAGGTTAGGTGACGTTGAGTCTGATGGGTGATCATGTAAGGTGGCGTTGGGAGTATAGGGTGGGCAGGTTAGGTGACGTTGAGGTTAACGGGTGACAGTGTAAGGTGGCGTTGGGAGTATAGGGTGGGCAGGTTAGGTGACGTTGAGGTTTACAAGTGACAATGGAAGGCGGCGTTGGGAGTATAGGGTGGGCAGGTTAGGTAACTTTGAGGTTTACAGGTGACAATGGAAGGCGGCGTTGGGAGTATAGGGTGGGCAGGTTAGGTGACGTTGAGGTTTACAAGTGACAATGGAAGGCGGCGTTGGGAGTATAGGGTGGGCAGGTTAGGTGACGTTGAGGTTAACGGGTGACAGTGTAAGGTGGCGTTGGGAGTATAGGGTGGGCAGGTTAGGTGACGTTGAGGTCTACAAGTGACAATGGAAGGCGGCGTTGGGAGTATAGGGTGGGCAGGTTAGGTGACGTTGAGGTCTACAAGTGACAATGGAAGGCGGCGTTGGGAGTATAGGGTGGGCAGGTTAGGTGACGTTGAGGTTTACAGGTGACAATGGAAGGCGGCGTTGGGAGTATAGGGTGGGCAGGTTAGGTGACGTTGAGGTCTACAGGTGACAATGGAAGGCGGCGTTGGGAGTATAGGGTGGGCAAGTTAGGTGACGTTGAGGTTTACAGGTGACAATGGAAGGCGGCGTTGGGAGTATAGGGTGGGCAAGTTAGGTGACGTTGAGTCTGATGGGTGATCATGTAAGGTGGCGTGCGAATTATAGGGTGGTGATGCAGTGCTGTTTTTAGAACAATATGTTAAGCGCCCCAAAAAACTTGCATTAGTCCGTTCTATACTGATTTATGAAAAAGCACATTTGTTTACAAACAAGAGAGAAGTCCGGTCACGTGATATGCAAATGAGCTGTGGCATTGGTGTTATGCTGAGTCACCACTGCGCCGGAGTGTGACTTTACATGCTAATCCTGCACGAGACAAATAGTGCATCTCGAGTCATGGATCTATGACGTCACATTTGTTGCGTTCATGAACATTGGTTTACACAACCTACCATTATGTCCGTTTGTACATCGAACCAATCTTATATCTCTTATATGTATGGTGGTGAGTATATATTTACAATGTGAATACAGATTTCCATAACTTATAAGCATAAAGAAATATAAAAGTAAAATTGTATCGCCTCGCACAGTTAGCGCACTGACGTCACACAATACAGACTATTATATAATTAAATGTCCCAGCTAGGCCTGTCCGTCCTTTGTGACGATGTCCGTCATTTGTCATTAAGTCATTTGTCATTTGTCATACAAGTCTGTATGCCTCTATTATTGTAAAATCGAAATTCGACAGTAATAGGTATCTTTACTGTGGTAATCTGACATTTTGTTTCTCTGTCAGTGATGAAATATCAAATCTTTTCGTTATCTGATCGAGCAGGTCATCTGCTATGGTAGTCATCTTTGTGAAGCCATTGAAATAAGAACAGCGATCGGGTCTCGTGTTCAACAATCGAGCCCAGAAAAGTAGGCTTGAAATGGCAAAGGCAGAAACTAGGCTTCGATATAGGCTACTGGGCATCCTTGCCTTGGGGAGATAATGAATCATGTGCACTTGTAATGAATCATGTGCACTTGTAATGAATCATGTGCACGTGTATGTGTATTAACTATTCTTTGTTTCAGGGGCAGCAGACAGACAGACAAGCGGCGTTCTACTGGTGCTTATAGCTATCATGGTTATAGGGAATCTTAGATGACGTCATTGAGAATATCAAAGAGTACTATCTTTCGGATTTCTCAGAGAGAATGTGTGTCCATCTGAAAATATTTACTTATATCTGATATTAACTCAAGTTCCTATCAACGTCCACCAGACTGACCAACACCCCAACCATACCAGACTTTGTCCATCTTCACCCAACCCTACTCCACATGAACTTTGTTAATTAACCAGTCAACCAAAGGATTATACGGGTACTGGGCAGACGCCTGGTTTGTAATTTACACCTCACTTTGAGACAAGCGATAGTTCCACACTGATACCAAGTATTTACCTATTATGCTTCTTAATTCCATTGTCTTTGTCACAACCACATTGTTGTGTACTCAATAAACTACCATTATGAGATAAATGGTTGCAACATGAAATATGTTTTGTTATAACTCACGTGTTTGTACTTTACGTAAAAATATGCGCCCTCGGCTGTGCCAGGATTCGTTGGTCGGAATCCTAGAGGTTTGAATCCCAGATTCACCCCTGTTTTGACCATTGCATGGTTTAGCAGCAGCATAATCGTGTTCGAGGATTTCATCGAAGGGATAAGTACATGACTGGTGTTACCTCGGGCTTTCCTTCCACATAGATCTGTCACGACGTGTTCAAGTTGAAATTATACTTTTTAAAGCACATTTAATCCCCACTTACTGACTCACTCGTGGAGAAATCTAGATTCCTTCATGGTGTTTAAAATCTAGGTCAAAATCTTCATTGCAGTGTTACCAGAGGTTGTGCGTATAACATTGCAGACCAATACGGTGATAGAATTAAGTGCTTACCGTTTCAAATATTCTCACCCGTTTATCCAGCCTTGATAGTGAAATTTTGGAGTATGAACGCTATTAAAGGGGATTCAGTCTACTGTTTCGGGGGATCAAAGACGAATCAGATGCAAACGCGACCAATGTGTTGTCAAACTTTGTGACAGGAAAACTTAAATGTGAGTAAAAGACCTACCATTAAGAACTGCCCTAGACCTGACGGCCACCAACAACACCTCTAACTAAACCTAATCCTATCATCGACAGGTTTTGTTCAGCCAGTGATGTCAGAGGCTTGGCTGGACAAGAAGAAAGTTCGGTTTATCGAGGGCAAGTTGTTCATAAACTGGATTCAGTACTGCCCTTAACATGCCCTCAATCTTCAGGACTGCATGAGACAAGGGAACTCCACTTGGTGAAAAATCACAATAATGGCTAAAGCCCTTTTTTTCGCTGTTTCTTGATATTGACATGTTTATGAGGATAAGCTTAGATTTCCCGTTAACATTAGAGGCATAATGTTTTTGTTAAAGTTAGGTGTTGTCATTGGTGACCAGAATGTACAAAATATATTTATATACATGTTTTTAATACCTTTCAGTTGAACGTTCATATTTGAGATCAGAAATGGTATGCTGGTATTATTACTTGTAATATACTTATATGGTATGGTATAGTGAGTGCGTGAGTATGGTTTTACGCCGCATTTAGCAATATTCCAGCAATATCACGACGGGGGACACCGGAAATGGGCTTCACACATTGTACCCATGTCGGGAATCGAACCCGGGTCTTCGGCGTGACGAGCGAACTCTTTAACCACTAGGCTACCCGACCGCCCCTAGTATGGTATAAGCTGAGAACAAGGAAAAGAGTGGTAACAGTAAGATGCAGTGAAACGTGAACTGTACCTGTGACCTCGTAAGTTAGCAGCATGGTAAAGAAGCTGACATAAAATCATCATAGTGTTTTCAAGATGAAGAAGGATAATATTTGGATAATGTTATTAATATCTGAAGATTATTGCATGTGAGCTGTTTAACTTTTCAATGTTAGAGTCAATGCTATAGAAGTGTGAGAAACCCATTGTTTGTTCTTTATGTTGACATGTTTGAGATAATTTTTGAGATTTGATAATCTAGGTCTTGTTGATGTAGATAGAGTTATTAAAAGTAGTGAATGTTCTCCCACTGAAACAATAAGGAAATGGAATAAATCCAAATCAAGCTTTTTCATCTGAAACATTAATGATGTAGAAATAGCGGAAATTAATGTTGAACTTGATAATATACTCCACAACAAAAGTTCCTGTGACACCAATATTTTAGTGTATTTTTCAAACAAGTAAAGTTTGGTTTTCAATATTGTAGTACATGTATGGAATCAAGTCACAGAAACGCAACTGCTACAGAAAAGCATGCATTCCATGCAAAAGTTGACCTTTATGCAAGCCCCATGCATTTCACTACCCAAGAATGGGTATAACAACGTGCGTTAACGGGATTCCATATGCATTGTTTAGCATCATGCTGACAACAGCCACTCAGAAAAACAACAAAATTACGCAATTATTCAACATTACGAAATGCCACGCCTGTCCGAAAATGAGCGTCTGCGAGCCATTGGTCTGCTTGAAGCAGGATCGAGTCAACGTGATGTTGCAAGACAATTTAACGTCCACAGAAACATCATTTGGTGTTTATGGCAACGTTGGCAACATACGAATGCAGTCAGAGACAATCCTCGGAGTGGCAGGCCACGCGTAACCAATAATCGACAAGACAACTGGATTCGAACAACACACCTACGAAATCGATTCCAGCCAGCAACAGTGACTGCAAGAAGCATCCCTGGCCTTCGACGAATATCTTCACAAACCGTACGTCGCCGCCTCAGATGTGCAGGGATGGTCGCCAGAAGACCCGCCATACGTCCCATTTTGACAGAAAACCACCGTCAAGCACGTCTACATTGGTGCAGACAGCGTCTACGCTGGACGGCCATGCAGTGGGGACAAGTTCTATTCACTGACGAGGCTCGGTTTCACCTCAGCCACAGCGATGGGCGGATTCGACAAAATGTCCCACAATCTTTCAACAAGATTTATTTATCTTGAAAAACAACAAACATTTTCATCTTGAAACTAAAATACAAACCACGACGATGTGAACGACACACCACGTACCTGTCGGTAACAACATTTCCTCCTTCACCGTCTACGACACTGATGTCACTGAGCTCCGTGGGACTCCAGGAGATCCACCACTCGCTGATGTCTTCCGTATCTCGCCAGCATGGCTGCTGTTCGCCCGAAGACGTTCTTGGCGTCGATGTCCACCACGCTGAGAGACAGGACAAACATCACCGTATGCACGTTCCCTGACGCACAGGCGAGGTGAAGGCTGTTGTTACGGTGAAGGTCAATCAGTGACACGTCAGCTCCTTTACTAACAAGGAACTTCACTACTTCTGTCTGTCCCGAGCGTGCTGCCGTCATCAGCGGTGTCGTGCGCACCACTCTACAGTTGACATTGACAACCCCCATAGACAGGATTCGCCTCACTTTCCCAACGTTCCCCTTGTTGCTGGCGCGATAGAGGTCGCGACAGCCTGGTGGTAATGGAGTCGCTGTAACACAAAATGAATACCGTATTTGACGTAATAAGCGCCCCGCTCTAATAAGCGCTCACGGCGAGATTTGCTGATATATTGGCTAGTAAACAATCCCAATTCGCATCGCTTCCTTCCCCTACTCGCGTATAATACGCACTCGTGTGTTATATGCACCCCTTATTATTGGCAATTAATTTCTTGAAACATATATCTGTCGCACATAAACATTTCAGGCTGTCAGCACAAACCACGAACTTGATCTTTCAACTCTTTTTTTCTCCACCAAAATAATATTCTATTAAGAGCCCCCTATTTCTAATTTTGAGAGCGCCCTGGGCGCTTATTACGATGAATACGGTTACATCTTTGTCATGCATCTGTATTATTCACACCCCAAAGTGTTGATATGTGACATTAACAGTGACACATCTTTCAACACTTCCAAAGTGGCTGACAACAACAAAACGATTAAGGGGAATGACGACAGCTGGTTCATGCAAATAAGATTATGTATTTAAAGTATAAAATTTATCTGTTAAATCCAGTATTTTTTTTGACTGAGCTTTATAAGATGATAATGTCAGTACAATTGCTGTTTGAAATTACCAGGATAATAACATATAACACTGGTTTTATATCAGCCTGTTGTTTTACTTCGCACACTCAGCAATATTCCAGCTATATGACGATGGTCTGTAAATAATCGAGTCTGGTCCAGACAATCAAGTGATTGACATCATGAAGCATCGATCCACGATGACATGCATCAACCAAGTCAGCGAGCCTGACCACCCGATCCCGTTAGTCGCCTCTTACGACAAGCATAGTCGCCTTTTACGACAAGCATGGGTTTCTGAAGGCCTATTCCGGCCCGGATCTTCACGCGTCAACTTCCAATGACGCTAGGCCTACTGTATATATAGCTGCAGTGGCCTAAACCTTACCATCCATCCAGCCACCGCTCTGAGATGAATGGCGTGTGGAGTGATATACTGTATACTAACTAATAAATATATGTATATAGTATACATGTACATTAAATATCCACTATGTTTATAAATGTCTAGACAGTAATGTTTTTTTCTAGACGGAAGCCACATTGATTTAAAAGAAAACGATTGAATCCTTAAATTCAAATATCACAAAGAATGATAATTAAGTGAAAAGGGCTCAGTAATTAATTGTATTATGTCACACATTACAGGAGCGTCATTTGGTGACAGTTTAATAGAAACCGACCTTTCATCGTTACACAATTCATGCTACGGTGTAATTAAAGCCCACTACATTGGTTTAAGCAAATAACCTCATCGTCGTGCATAATATATGTTGTTTTTTAATTAAAACTCAATTTTGTTGGATTAAATGACGGAGTTCGTAAAAAAGGCCAAAGTTTAAATTATATGCGCAAGGGTTAGTTGTAATTCATAATATAGCTGGCTGTACATAATGTGAACATTTGTGTGAAAAGATAAATGCATTATGTGTAAAGAAATAATATTAACGTGGACATTGATTGGGGAAGATGAAGCAAATCATGGACAATCAACCTGTTGAAAGATGGGCCAGTTGATTGATCGGAACACTCAGTTTGGGTTTGTAAATGCATATTGTCCTATATTCGATAGAGTTAAAGTTATGTCTTTTTTACGGTCTTTTGGCAGTGATTAGTACGTAAAATTGTGGTTAATTTGTTTAAGATCAGTTTATATCTACGTGCTCAGTTTTTAAAGTGTATTTGAGTATCCTGCATAATTTCCACGGCTAGTCAAGACACACTATCAGTTGTGATCGTAACAATGACGTCATATTGCAGCTTTATCAAAGAGCATTCTTAACCACACGCCCCTTTCCGTAACCTGCAAGAAGACTCGTCCCCCTATCGATGAATGTTATGTGCGAAAATACGACAAACCAATCAGAATGCGCGTATGATTTCTTCGTTCTTCGTCAAAGAATCCCTCATAAATACTTTATGATTTTACATATGTCTTGCATCTAGAACTATACCAAAGACACAGTTAAATGTGTTCTTTCATACTGTATAATTCCGCATGTCCCGATGTGCTTTAAATTGCATCTGAAATATATTTAATATATGGGGAAATATATGTGAACCATTACGCAACGAGTTGACAATTGTTTAGGGTATGCCCGTTTGCGCTAAGACGGAACCCGGTCGCATAAATGGACACGAGAGGAGCACGAGTCGCTTTTCGGCTTGTCCCGGAATAACACGAGTTGGTCACGAATAGCAACAAACACTTTTTTATTCAAATTGTGCGAGTGGCAGGTGCTCCCAGTAGGGTAGGACATGCCTAACCTTGGCCTTTTCGCGAACATCTGGTGTCATCACTATATAAAGTTATCACCGATGTTGTGTCTTTTGTACCCAATGGAATCTGTTTCTCTAGATAATCGAGACTGATTTTTTTTTGGCGTTGACGTTATATATTTTATGATCAATGCCTACTGTAGGCTTTCTGTACAGACGGTACATTTGGTCTGATACAGCACTGAAAACTTAAAAATAATAGTGTAGGCAACCAACAGGTTACAACGTAACAGGTGAGGTGAAATGGGGTTTAACGTCGCGTCCAAGATTATTGCACGTATATAGTGACGTACATGCGCGTGTATGTGTGTGGCTGCTTGTACTAGTCCGGACTGATGCCAATTTATAGTGGTAGCCCACTGAGATACCATGCCGCAGTTTAACATGAATACCCCACTCAGACACAGTATACTGACTCCGAGCCGACCAGTCCTTGTTTTAGCCCCTTAATGCCGAGCGCCAGACAGGGTAACAACAAGTACCATCTTTTAACGTCTTTTGGTATGACGCGGCTGGGGATCGAACCCCGGACCTTCCGCTCTCCGGGCGGACGCTCTACCATTAGACCACGGAGGCGGTCTACAACGTAACAAAATATGTAGATCAAGACTGACCCCTGACTTAGTTACAATCCATCCCGTGGTTATATTGTTAATTGAACACAAAGGAAACATTATGTAGCACTACAAAGCAGTAGGCATGGCATGGTCATTCCGATAGATTTAATTATAAAAGTATAATGCTACCACATTAGCAACGAAGATATGCTGGTAGGCATTCGACAAGAAATACATAGTTCAGTGAATGTATTTGTAGACATATGATTGATTTAGGATGAAATCAACTTTTCGATATAAGTATTTTACAGTGTGTTTGAAGTATAAGAAATAGAAATATACCTCAAAAGATAAATGTGTATTGATAAAAAAAACCTCTCGAAAGCTCCCTTTCAAGCTCAATATTGTAAAATGCTCTGGGTGTGGCTCTTACCGTCTACACAGGCAGCTTTTCCAGATCTAGTCTCCAAACATCGGGAATTCAGGCTGCAGGTCTTGGTTGCACAGGGCCCAGTCTGAACCTTTAAACGCCAACGAAAGGGATTATTTTCATACGTATTTATTGCCTTTACTATGAACTGTAGGCGGTTTGTATACCAGGATTGATGGTAAAACGGATGGGATGTAATAATGAAATTAAAGCTGAAAACCTTTTCGCTGCAAACATGTGTGTTTCTCTTCTCACTGTCATCAATTTGTATGGCTATAAAACACAAATTACATTCTGCCGAAACTCCGAGGCAGAACGACAGCATCAAGTACAGAATTGCATTACTACAAATGAAGTTTACACATGGCGTTCTATGATAATTGAGAAGACGCCATGATATGTATACGAATTTAAATTTTATTCAGCTAGCTGTATCTTTAACTTACATAAGAATGATCCATAGATTTTACGATGTACCCTTCCCTCTTCTTAATATTCTTTGCTTCATCACTTGATAGTCGACAGGTTAAAGTTTCGTAGTTGTATTCGAAACTCAAACATCCACCCTTTTCATGACATCTTACTTGGCACAATTTCATGCCAATGTTCCTGCTAGTGGCGAAACTAGGCGCCAACTTCTCCACCTTGCTGCTGCATGTGGAAAATACTAACATGAAGTAAACTACCAGGCACAAATTTCCACCGTCGCTTGACCACATCGACGTCATCTTAAAGCGTTCACAGAGGATCTCAGGATTCACAGACTGATGAGAGTACTCCCGGTACCAGAGACTGTCACTAAGTAGATGACGATGACAAGACTATCTACACGAATGTTCACAAAATACCAGGTAGGCTGGGGACCTGCTTTCAAGCAGCTTGAGACATCACGTGATACTGCATGTACCTGGCTTGAAGGATCAATACAATAACCTACTTGCACAGCGTAGGCTGGCACTGGGTCTTGTAGAAGCCGTCAAATTGCTTACATCTCGGTAGTGAAGTGTTATTTTATTTCCTTCTCTACCAAAACATATTTTCATTTTGTAAAGAAAAGTGTCTTAGATTGAAATCCTCATTCTGACAGATATCTCTTCCTTAAAAATGTAAGGTCCCTTTGTGAATGACAAATTACTCATTATGTCAAAACAACATCACCATGTCAGCTAGATGTATATGTAGAGCTATAGACAGGTAATGTACACAAGGTCAGCAAGATACTGTAAATCTTGAAATTAACGCGAGCGTGAATTAAATGCGAGTGGTCTTTGCTCGCATTATTAAACATCGCATTTATATCAACAATTAGACATTTTGGATAACAGAAATACCAACTTAGACATACGCTGAAAACAAACAACTATGTAACACATCACTGTTTATTGAGCAGCACGTGTAACAAGTATATAAACAATGTCATTCAAACACTAATTACATCCTGTGAATTGTCACTGTGTGGGTCAAGACAAGAGTTCTACCCACTTATGTCATCACTGATTACACCTGCAAGTCCAGACAGACGCCACCCACGCAACACGGTGTCTTTGTTCTTGTAGGTACATATGTAGAGCTATTAACAGGTAATGTACACCAGGTGAGCTAGGTACATATTTAGAGCTATGAACAGGTAAGGTACACCAGGTCAGCGGGGTACATATGTAGTGCTTCAGGCAGGTAATGTAAGCATTACTTTTGAGTGGTCACCTATCGTTTTACCTTAAGGCAAGTATCGTCCTCAATGTGATCAAATACAATTGTCACAATTCACGCTTCGATTATACTGATGTGTTTGTTACTGACAGGAGAGAGCTAATAGCATTTAGTAAGACAATTTTAATCTTTGACACGATAACCTTTGCTCATTGTACGTACTGTATTTGTATGTGCAATCCGATGGTATCAATTTCTTCAGCTAACTGTTGTTGTTTCAAAAGTTTCAGTGACAACTTTGCGATTTCCTAACTGTTCCGATGATCTAGATTTGGTTAAAAAATAATGGTAGTACCTTGGTTCGATTCTGACTGTCACAACCTCTAAATCTGCTATGCCTTTATCCAGCCATCTTGTTGTTGTTGTTTATTCGGCAAGGTTAGGTAGGCCATCGGCCCATGTCGCAGAAGCTATACAGCAGCCATTATTATTATTGGAATTTACATCAGCAGTTTTGTCCTTAATTGACTTGTAGATATACATATCCAAATTTCTTATGATATTACATTTATCACTTGACATCAAGACATTAAATATTTGATGAGTGCAACTTGAGCATCTCATAATCTCTCGTTGTATCATTTGAATATAACTGATACGAGGGCTGGTCAAAAAGTTCAAAAATTGTAAAAAGAATTTATGATAATTTTCAACGTAATCTCCCGGCTTTTCCGTACACTTCTCATTCATATCGATAGTCAAGCTTTTCAGTTTCAGTCAGGAAGATGTTTTCTTAAGTCATCATGAAAAACCCATTCACGGCAGCTTTGAAGTCATCGTTGTCGTCATAGCGCTTTCCAAGAAGGTGTTTTTTTCAGTTTAGGAAACAGGTGGAAATCACTTGTGCCAGGTATGACGAGTATGGAGGGTGAGAAGCTTTCGAACCCTCGCTGTCGCACAGCAGCCTTTGCAAGTCGAGAGGTGTAAAAAGAGTTATTGTCATGAAGTGGTAGAACTCCAGCAGTCAGCAATCCTCCCCGCTTTCTTTGATAGAATATCTCAGGCGATGAAGCGAATCACTGGTAATCGTCTTTTGACTTTCTAAGTAATCAACAAGGATTGCACACTTTACATCTCAGACGACAGTGGCCATAACTTTCTTCGCTGATCTTGAGACTTGAATTTGTTTGGTGCCGGAGAAGTGGAATGATGCTATTCCATGGACTGGCGTTTTGACATCACCCGTTACTAATATCTATTTGAATTTGACGTAA